AGGAGCATACTGCAACGTCTCTTGCCTTTTGAATTTTATGTTCTTTGTTATTTCCTATATGCTACGTCTGGAGGTATTAGAATATTTCAAGTTTGTATAACTGGAAAATATTTTACTTTTAGTTTTCAAAGGTATGTTTGCTAAGTATAAAATTCAGAGAGGACAGGTTTTTTTTTTTTTTTCTTTCTTTCAGTCCTTTAATTAGTCTAGTTTCTTACACACTTGATCTTTTTCTTTTCTAATGTGGAATAAGATGCTATTTAATTTTATTCTCCTATAGCTAATATTTTTATGTATATGCTTTAATGATTTTTTTTACAATACGTTTTGGACAATTTCATTTTTGTGTATCTTGGTATGATTTTATTCAAATTTCTTGTGCAAAAGGTTTATTTTTCTTGGAAATGTGGTGTTATAAGTTCAACTAAACTCAGAAATATTAAATCTTTAAATATTTATTGCCTACCCCTTTCTACTTTGAGAATTCTAATTATGTGAATATAAGTTTCTTGATTTTGAAAAAAAAAAAAAGAACTTCTAAAACTAAAAGCTACAGCAATTTATTTTTAAAATTTCAACAAAACAATTCAAACCTTTAGTTTTTTATTAGTGTACATTTGCAATACATTATAGTTACATTTACTTTGGGAGACTAGTATATGGTTACAGCAAATCTTGAGTCTTTTTATCCCTTTACACTCATTTCCTACTCTCCCTCCTCCCCATCTCCCTGACCCGTTTCTCCATCTCCACTAAGGCTGGCTTTCTATAAATAACTGAAAACATTAGATCTTCGAATTTACAAGGCATGAGTCTAGAATGCCTATATATTGTACTCTGAGTAACTAACTGTAAAGGTAACAACATGCAATACACTAACCATTGTTATTCTATTGTCTTGTTTTGAAATTTTGTTTTTTCTCTCTTTAAAATTAGAAGAAAAAAAAAAGGAATTTCCCTGGTTGAAATGACAGTGAAGTATTTAGAAGATGGAGTATCCACATTTCTTCATTCCACTTCTTTACAGAAAAAAATACAGGCCCATAGTTTACAGAACACAACTAAACAACATTTCTTCAAAAATACCATAAAGTATTTTGAATCATAAGAAGACACATGCAAATACCTCAGTAAAACAATGTTTTATCAATCCACTTACCTACATTCCACATACAGACTTGTGATCTTGCAGTGACATTTTATCCTAAGCATCTGAACACAAGGAGGGCAGTCCCCAGGGTGACATGGTAAAACACATGGATGAGGACAACCCAATGGCCGTGACTTCGAGCACCCTTCTTCACAATGAAGGCATTCTGGGCCAGCCTGAAAAGTTGGATGTAATAAATAGTCTCAGCACACAAGCCTAACATTTCTACATATTAAAGTTATAAATTACATATCCCATTAAAATGATGTACTTGTGCAGCCTTTACAAACAGTTAATTAAATGTTACATGCTCTCATTCATTTAAAAGTAGTCAAGATGAAGAATGTTAAGACTACCAATATGACCATTATTCATACAGATTTTGTGCCTAGACACTTTGTCAAACTGCCTCATTTTTAAATTTAACTAGATGAAGTATCATTAAAAAAACATCAATTACTGTGTAAAAAAACTCAGTGGCAGAAAAACAAGTCAAACATTATCGATTCATTTCCACCCAATAAGTACAATCACCAGTGATCTAAAAAAAAGAAAAGGGAAAAAAAAATCACTAGCTGTAGTGACATATGCCTATAATCCCAGCTACTCTGAGTACAGAAGAAAGAAGATCACAAACTCAGGGCTAGTCTGAGCAACTTTGCAGGATTATTTCAGATGAAAGGAGAGAGACAGACAGACATAGAGACAGACAGGCAGGCAGGCAGGCAGGCAGGCAGGCAGGCAGGCAGGCAGGCAGACAGACAGACAGACAGACAGACAGACAGACAGACAGACGGGTGGGGAATGCAGCTCTTGGTATTATCTGACATGCATGAGAACCTGTGTTCAAGCCTCAGTACTGCTAAAAAAAAAAACTGTTAACACATAAATAATGCAAATTAATAAACTAAAGTCAAATTATATTCACAAATAAATATACTTCAGTGACTGGGCAGTTCTCTGCTCTAGTGATTTGACAATGTAATTAGTATCAGCACGTTACCAAATAATGTTAAAGATATTTATTGCAGGATAGTGTACTGTTTTTATTTTCACATGATGTACTTGAGATAAGAGAACTACAGACATAGACACTTTTTAAAATTTTTTTAAAACTAATTCTATTGAGAAAGAAATAGCAATGAGACAGTTTCAAAACAGGTTAGTAGGACAGTTACAATAATTAATACATTGAAAGTTATTGTCTTCATAGTAGTTATTCATAGTACAAGATGCAGACACAATATCTTGTCTAAATACTATTAGTACAAACCTTTCTTCTCATTGAACTAATGAAGTAGCTGTATATCTAACCTAATTTGTACATATAGATAGGTATTTTTTTTTCACTACAAAATGGTCCTTCATTTATAGCTCCCTTTTTTGTTTAGTTTTGTCTGAGATGGGTATTCCATTGCCATTCAAATATTGTAGGTGCATGAATTGAGCAAAATAATCCAACATAATAGTAGTGGGATATCCATAGGACTTAAAGATTAAGCATTTTTATTATCATTCCTAAGTACACCCATAATTGTAACAGTCATTATATTAATAAAGGTCTATGCTATTCGGCATTTAGAATTTTAAAAAAAGGTATTTTAAACTATAAAACACCTCCTAAGCACTGGTGAGATAATTCAGCACACTAAGTGCCTGCTTAGGCAAGCACAGGAACCTGGTTTTCATTCCTGGCACATACCATGCTGGCCCCGCCCCTGGGGGCACTGAGCAGGCCACTGAGACTAGGTGTAGTAGTGCACACCTGTAATCCCAGCACTGAGGAGCCTGAAAACAGGAGGTCAGTATGAGTCCAAGCTGCATAGTGAGATCCCATACCAAGTACATTAAAAAAAAAAAAAGCCTCCTATAAATATTTTTTTCTTTATGTTCAAAAGTGTATTTGTCTATTCTACATTTTTCAGCATTTTTTTTTTGCCAGTCATTGTTCCAAGCACTGGGAACAGATACTAATGAGCCCCAGAACTTACATGGGAAAGTAAAGAACATAATATATGTCTTTGTAAGTACTATAAGGAAAATGTAAAATATATTAACAAAGTAGTAGGATGAGAGGAAAAAGAATGAAACCTGTCTGATTAAGTTCAGATCTGAATAGAAACTAAGTGATATAAAGGAGTAAGCTACAGGAATGTAGAATTCTTGAATGCATAAATCCTGAGAAAAGGAACAGTAAACACAAAGGTTATGAGGTAAAAATTCAGAGATGAGCAGTTGGAGGAGAGCTAGGAAAGGCAGTTAGGTTTCAGATGGTTACCAAGCCTCTTGGGTGATAGTTAACTGTCTTCCAATTTTAATCTGACAGTGTCTGAAAGCTATTAAAGGGTTTTAACCAGGGAGATTTTTTTTTTTTTTTTTTACATAGATGAATCTAGCTGATTTAGAAAAAAGAAGCAGAAGTGGAAGGTTAGTTTGGAAAATACTATGGAAATGTACGTAGAAGATGATGGTAACTGAGATGAAGATATTAACAATAAAGGTTATGAGAAGTGGTCAGATTCATGATCCACTTTGAACATAAAGCTGAAAGGAGAAAGAGAAGAAGAAGGAGGAGGAGAAGGAGGAGACGGAGAAGGAGGAGGAGGAGGAGGAGGAGGAAGAAAAGGAAGGGAAGGAGAAGGAGAAGAAGAGATAAGAAATCAAGCATAATTCCTATGCTGCTCAGTAAAAATGACCTGTGCAACAGGGTAGAAATTACAATACAATTTATTCAAGAGGAAGACTGGGAAAGGAACAGGCAATGAACCACAAAATACGCAAACATAAGCAAATTTATCACACACCCATATTTCATTTGCTCTTCCTGGCTATGTGGTTAGATCTACAATAATCATCTAAGTATGAAAGTAGGAGGTACAAGATAAGAGATATTACTTGCTGGCTTATTTTATGATCACAGACAAGTCACTTGACAAAATTAAGTTTCAATTCTATCTACAAAACAATTTATTCATGAGTTCTTTCTAGCTACAAAAAAAGCCCCATTAAATCTACACTTGTTATATAATTTTTTCTGGATTACTTCCAATATCATAATCTACCTTTTAGGAAAGACTATTTCAATTCAGAATACAACAAATCTGGTGTAGTTCTCATTAAGAAGAAAAACTGAAATTTTAAACCAGGTAGGAATGTTGGTACAATTTATAATAGTCAGACTTGAAAATGAGTTTTCCTGATTTTTTTTTGACTTTCTGGAAATCTAAGGAAGAAAGCCATAAAGCATTCATCTCCTAACTAGTTCAAGTACCTTTAGCTCCTTTCATTACTTGCTAGTTTGATTTCACAATTCTAATTTTTTACCAAGGATCAAGGCACTGATTAATGAAGAAATTATAAGTAATTATAATTTGCACATAAATAAGAATGATATTCTAGGCCAGGGAGATAGCTCAACAGAATAAACACCTGCCTGGTAGGTACAAGGTCCTGAGTTCAATTCCCAGTATCACAAAAAAAAAAAAAAAAAAAAAAAGAAAAAAGAAAAAGAAAAAGAATGACATTCCACGCATTTGTCATACATTGTAACAATCCGTTATAGGACTAACAATGTAACTAAAATTTTCAATAGCATAACTCATAGTGATTTAAATAGCTATAAATTTAGTATTAATAATAAAATGAAGTTTAAAATGCCTGGTTTGTTCCTCAGTAAGATACTTATTAATATTATGATTCCTTATTAGACAAAATTCCAGGAAAAAATATTCTTATAAAAATGAAGTTTATTAATTTGATTAGAGTTGTTTCTTATAAAATGCTGTCAAGAGTTTTAAAGATCTCTGAAGTTCTGTTATCTCATATGCTTATAAAATAACTCTAGGCTGGGGTGATAGCTTGGTGATGTAAGCACCTGCCTGGTAAATGCAAGGACCCAAGTTCAATCACAAGTACTACATACCATGCCAGCCTCAGAAACCCGGGTGAACCGTGCCAGCCCTGAAACCTGGCATGCTGGCACATGCCTGAAGCAGGAGGATCACTACGAGTCTCAACTGTGTAGTGAGACCCTGTATTGAATAAATGATTTTTTTTAATTATTTGTGAATTATATATACATATACCATACATACAGCATGTCATATTTACTTTCCAACAAATGACTGAGAATTTATGAAAATTGTGAACATCATCTATCATGTGTCAGGTGTAAAAAATAGCCAAAAGCAAATGTTTTGACTAATCTCAGAGATATGGAAAAGAACAGAAGTGTCATTGCTACTATATAGAAACATATATTCTGTATCTTATATATTAACACAGATACAGTGTGTACAGAGTTGCACATTAAAAGGCATATTATTTTTATGAGGTATCACAAAGAAGCTGTTATTGGGTATTGAAGGAAAGACAGAAGGCAAGAAAAAGACAGATACTTAAAAAAACGAAAAATTATTTAGTATCTAATTGTTGAAAAAATGTTTTAAGCAAATGGTCTACATGGTTATGCTCAATCTAAGGCTATTACCTTGTTTTTGCTAGTGTAGCCATCAACTTCAGTTACTTTGTGGCATTCTTTCAAACAGGTATGATTCTGACAATCTAAGATTCTTCCACAAGCTCTCTTACAGGAGTAGGGTCCTACAGCATGGCATGGTAGTGGACTCACCTTAAAAAAAAAAAAAAAAAGACATTAGTATCAGATACAGTCACAAAACCTTCTGCTTTCAAAACGTATCTGCTATCATTTCAGAACAAATTTCACAAATCTAAAATGCTTTCATAATAATTTTTTTGTCCATACCAAAGCAACCTATCAAAAAGTTCCCCAACACATACATACCAAGAATCAAAACATTATAATCCTAGAAGATAAATCCAATGTAAGTACATATAATGAATACACAAAGAGGACAATTCTCAAATAAAAACACTGTACATTTTTAAAACTTAGTATACAAACCCTTTGTATGCTCACTCTTTGTAACACTGAAACACAATATTTAGACTACTTCCAACAACTGTATTATAGAACAGGTATAGATTATGAACATTAAAAATTATGGCTATACTCACCTCATGCTTCCCAAGACATTCCCTATGAAGAAAAAATGAAAACATTAAAATTGCTTCACAAAACTATCAAAAGCAAAGATACTAACTCTGCTAATTTTGAGTAAAAAATAAAAATATTAAATAATGCAGTGAAATTCCAGGTAATAGACACAGGACAATTCTTGTATGCTGCAAATAAGCAATCAGAAATTTTTCCCCCATGGCCAGCTCAGTTCACCCTGAGGGTGGAGCTGGCACAGCACAGCATGCTGGGGATCAAACCATGGTCCTTGTACTTTGCCTAAGCTTGACTAAGCAGGTGCTTTAGACTGCTGAGCTATCTTACCAGCCCAACAACTAGAATTTTAAATTAGTATCATAACACTATTATATTAGCCCACAAAAAATATTAAATATAATAAATGTAAGATCAATATTAGCAAAACTACAATGCTTATGTAAGGAGTCAAAATTTAAACAAACGGAGTTCACTGATAGGAAGACGCAACACTGCCAAGGTGTCATTTCTACCCAATTTCATTTAGATTCAATACAATTTCAATTAAAAACCCAGCAAGTTAACTTGTACATAACAAGTAAATTCTAGTCTACATAGACTGACGAGATCCAAACAGCTAAAACAATACTTAGTGATTAAGAGACTTTCGTATTGTGAAAGAACAGAAGAATAAACCAAGGGAAGAAAGATGACAGTCCAGGTATAGATTCACACAAATACAGTCTACTGACCTTAGATAAAAGGGGAAAGGCAAAGAACTACAGAAAAGATGCTTTTTAATAAATAGCTGGTGCTAGAATAAACAGACATTCACCTGCAAGAAACCTGGATAGGCTTTGTAATAGTTACCTCAAAATAGATCTATAAACCTAAGAGTGAAACAAAACTATCAAACACAGAATAATCTAGATGTCCTTGGGTTTAGTGACAGACTTCATATATTACCAAAAGTATAATCCATAAAAGAAAGCTAGTAAGTTGAAATTAAACTAAACATATCTCCTTACAAAGAACACTTTAGAGAATGCAAAAACAAGTTACAAAATAGAAGAAATTGGAAAGCATTCATCTGATAACAGACTTATATCCAAAATATATTCAGAACCCTTAAGCTCAATAATAAGTAAACACTTCAATTTTAAAGGGGTCAGAACATTTAAGCAGAGAAAATTAACTCATTAAAAGACCTAGAAATGGCAAATAAACATATAAATAGATGTTCAACATTATATACTGGGACTGGGGAACTAGCTCAGCAGTATAAGCACCTGCCTGGCAAGCGCTAGGTCGCAAGTCTGATCCTTGTACTACAAAAACAAACAAAAAATTATATATCATTGGAAAATTGCAAATTAGAAATGATACCACTATGCACCTATAAAAATAACTATGATCCAAAATACTGAAACTATTTCATCCAGATGAGGATGTAGACCACCAGCTCTATTTATGGCTAATGAAAATATACACAGGCACAACTACTTTGGTACAGTCCAACAGTTTCTTAAGAAGCTAAACATAAGCTTATCATATGAGAACTGGCAATTCCAAGTGTTTATCTAAATGAATGGAAAACTTACATCCATGTAAAAATGTGCACATATTTATTGCATCTTTATTCTTGATTGTCAAAATTTGAACAAATCAAAGTTTCTTTAGGTGAATGGATAAAAAAATTGCAGGGCATTCACATGGTGGTATACTATTCAATGATAAAAAGAAATAAACTACCAAACCATGAAAAGACAGAGAAGAAAGTTAAAGTGCATTCTGCTAAATAAAAGTCAGCCTGAATACTATATAATCACAATTACCACATGTGATGTTCCAGAAAAATCAGAACTATTAGTAATCAAAAATGTATCACACACAGAGCTGGAGAGATAGCTCAGCGGTCTAAGCACCTGCCTGGCAAGCACAGGACCCTGGTTCAATCCCTGGCACCACATGCCGGGCCAGCCCCAGAACTGCCCCAGGCTATCGTGTCAGTTGCTCAAACTAGGCATGGTGGGACACATCTGTAATCCTAGTGCTGAGAAGGCTGAGACAGGAGGACCACTATGAGTCTGAGCTGCAAAGCAAAACCCTGTACCAATTAAATAAATAAAAGATTTAATAAGAAAAAAATTACCACACAGAAAACATCAGTACCAGATGGCCTCACTGGTGAATTCTATCAAATGTTTGAAGAATTCACAGAAATCCTTATGGAGGGAATTTCCCAACTCATTCAGTCAGACTAGTATTTCCCAACACTACAGCCATAGAAAGGTGTCACAAAAAAACTACAGACTGGGCTGGGGAGATAGCTCAGCAGTCTGAGCTCCTGCCTGGCAAGTACAAGGACTGGAGTTCAATCCTTGTTACCACATGCTGTGCTGGCTTCTGGAACTCCACACTCTGAAACTGGTAGCACTGGGGAGGCTGAGACAGGAGGATCACTATGAATCAGAACTGCACAGCAAGACCCTGTACCAAATAAGTAAAGAAAACTACAGACCAATATCCTGTATGAATACAGAAATAAAACAGAATCCCACAACATGTAATAAGGATTTTATACTATGAGCCAGTTGGGAGAAATATATAGAAAGAAAAATATGAGACTGGCTTTTAGAAATAAAGAAAAAAATTCTCTTTCAAAGAAGAGTACATACCAAATACTGTGGTGTACACCTACAATCCCAGCATTCAGGAGGCTGAGGCAAGAGATTTACTGCAAATTTGAGGCCAGCCCTGGCTACAAAGTAAAACCCTGCCCACCCCTAAAATACTCAGTACATCAGACATACCAATCACTGTTAGACTGGGAACTTTATTTGTAGATAGCGGCCCTTGTACATCTATGTTGCTTCCTAGAATTCTGTGTCCTTTCCCTATAATCCATAGCCTAAAAGCATGAAGCATTCTGGGATTCCGTATTCCTACAGGTTCAACTCACAGCTCAATTCTCAGCATTCCCTGGCCCATCCAGCAAATTATTTTCTTCCATTTCCACTATTTCCTTTCAACACTCTCCTTCATGTGTGCCACATAAAAGCTGGCTTCCAGGTGTCCTTGGGAAGCTAGCCACTCCAGCTCAGAAAGCACCAGGAAAAGAAACAAATGATGAGCCTCCCTAATGTGTTTTTATAACTGTTCACAAAAGTCATGACAGAAAGCTAAGGGCATTAAACTCCAGCTGAGGGAGAAGACGCAAAAATAGATATCCACAAGAGGTTTATAAGCAGAGCAGATAGCTGAAAAAGAACTAAGCTAAACACAATAACTAGTTTATAGATCAGTCCTAAAAATGTTAGCTGAAATAGACAAAGCAGAGTGATTAAGATGAATTCACATCATGTCCAGTTTTTTTAATATTAAAATTTTAATACTTACAGAGGAATTGGGACTTGACATGGAGGACAAGGTAATGCAGTCTCAATAAATGCTGGCTCACAGGGCTGTTCCCATGGCCCTGTAGGTTGGTGCTATAAAATAACAATTCAAAACCAGAAAGATTAAATCATATGTCCTGTAACAATATAACAAAATAGTTTCTATGTAGCCTCTGCTTCAGCAGAAATGCTTTCAAGGAAGAAATAGTGCTTAATGAAATATTTTACTGTATCTCTATTACATTAGATTATTCCCCTACTCACGTATACCATATTAAAGCAGATTCTAGATTTTGAAAGGAAGAACAAAGATATACCATCTTTCTCTTCTTATAAGCCAAAAGGAGAATGAGAGGCATACTATAAACACCAAAAAATGTACTAGCCAAATTAATTTCCATTATCTCATTCACTGTTGTTTCTCATTATCTTGACATATAGTAAGGACTCAGTACTCACTACATAAGTGAATGAATCTCAAAGAAAAGTAAAAGATATCTATAAACCTATAACCCTAGGAACCACAAAATGATAGAGGCCTCATAAATTTATCTAAATAATGATTATAACATGACTATCACTCTATATTTGCAAACATTTCCTTATTTATTGGTTTCTCGCCTTTATTATTCTATGAGGTTTTGCTGTTTTTTTTCTTTTTTCCTATGCTGGGGACTGCACTTAGGACCATATACATACTAAGTATAGAGCAGATCTATTCCTCAGCTGACGGGTTTCTGGGTTGTTTCCAGGATTTAGCTATGACAAACTCCACTGCTATAAACACGGGTGCACATATATTGTTGTGGTATGATGTTCTCACTCCTTGTGGAAAAATACCCAGGAGATGAAAAGCTGGCTTGAATGGGATCTCCAGTCTCATCTTTTCAAGGAATCTCAACTTTGATTTTCATAGCAGCTGTACCAGTCTGCACTCCCACCAACAATGGAGAAGGGTTCTTTTTACCCCACAGTCTCTCCAGCATTTGTTATTGGCTGACTTACTGATAACAGCCATTCTTTCTGGGATAAGAAAGGATATCAGTATTGTTTTAATTTACATTTCTCGAATGACCAATGATGTTGAACATTTTTTAAACATATTTACTTGCCACTTGTATTTCTTCATCTGAAAAGTGTGTACTTATCTCAGATGCCCTTTTGGGGACTGGGTATTTGAATTTGGGGGGGCTGTTTTTTTTGTAATTCTTTATGTATTGTAGATGGACAGAGTGACAGATAGAGCTTTGTCAGAGTGACAGTCAGCTATAATTATTTTCCCAGTTTGTTGTTTTGTTTTTTTTTTTACTCTTTTTGAGATCTCCTTTGAAGTGCAGAAACTTTTCAAAAAGATGAGATTCCTGTTATTGATTCTTTGAAGTATTTCCTGTGCAGTTTGGTTTTTGTTCATCATCTCTCTATCTACCCCTAAGTCTTTAAGATTTGCACCCACATTTCCTCTAGAAGATTTAGTTTCTGTTTTAATATTTAAATCTTTGAGCCCTTGGGACCCAGCACAGGACCAGCAGATGAGTGAGAACTTCCACCTCTCTGACCCCTCCAGACCCTGCCCAAGCCCAGGCCCCGCAAGTTTGCAGGAGAGCTTCTGTGCTCTCTTGCACCCGCTGGACCCCTCCGGACCCAGCGTGTAAGTGAGAAATTCCACCATGCTCTCAGGACTCCTCCAGACCCAGCCCAAGCCCAGGACCGGCAAGGGTGTGGGAGAGCTTCTGTGCTCCCTTGTGCCTGTGGGACACCTCTGGACCCAGCCCAGTCCCAGCGTGTAAGTGAGAAATTCCACCGTGCTCCAGGGACCCCTCGAGACCCAGCCCAAGCCCAGGCGCAGCGAGTGTGTGGGAGAGTTTCCATGTTCCCCTTTGCCTGCTGGATCCCTCTGGACAAAGCCCAAACCACTTGTGGGTGAGTCCTTCGGTCCCACTCTCTGGACCCCTCAGACCCAACCCAGACCTGGCATACAGGCCTGGGGTGAAACTCTGCACCTAAATTCCTTGCAGAGAGGCTAGGGGCCAGAACCACCCAGCTAATTTAGGAGCAGAACACCTTGACAGAAGTGCACAACAGGTTCATTTCCAAGGGCTGCAGCAGAAAGAAACTGAGCACAGCAGCCAGACTCAAGTCAGACACAACAGAAGGAATTCAAACTTCGTAGATATGCACCCGAATTTCAGTAGATGCTAAGGTTATAACGGTACCAAAGGTCTACACCAAAGGTCGAAGGACAGTGCTATACAAAATGACAAAGTGAAGGAGCAAAATGTAAGCTCAGGCCCTGAGCTACACCAAAACAAGTGAAGAACACACTAGCACAGAAGAAATTGGGAATCACACAGCTGAAATGTCTGAATTAATAGCATCTTAAGCAAAGAAACAACTAGAAAAAGGTATAAAGGAACTCAGATCTCAAATAACAGAAAAAATTAAAGAAGAAGTCTCTGAATTAATAGTGTCTGAAGTAAAGAATCGAATGCAGAAACATATAGAGGAAATCAGATCACAATCTCTGAAGTAAAAAGAGAAAGGATAACTACAATGATAGAATTAATAACTGCTTCTCAAGAAGACACTGATAAAAAATAGAGATTAGAAAAAATATGGAACCCCTCAATGAGCAATAGAGGAAAGAAATAGATTGCGTGAAGCAGAGTGAACAAAATATAGAGGAACTTAAAGTCTAAATCACAAGCTTACAAAACTGAGTGAAAGTGAAGATACAGTTTCAGATCTTAAAGACTCCACTGCATCTAGCAAAAAAGGTAAGAAAAGATCTCTTAAAAACTAGGATGCAGGAAAAATAATTCATCACCTTAAAGACGATGCAAAGATGAATATGGTGAGACTAATAGGCATCAATAAGAAAGGAGTTAATACAAATGATATAAAAAGAATATAGGCAGAAGTAATAGCAGAAAATTTCCCACATATGGGGAAACAATGTGAAATTCAGCGAACTGAAGCATACAGAACTGAAGCATACAGAACTGAAAATAACATCACCCAATTAAAAACACACTGTGGGCCAAAAAGATGGCTCAATAAAATAACTGCTTGCCTGGAAAGCACAAAGGCTAGAGTTCAATCCCCTATTCAGTTAAAAAAAAAAAAAAAAAAAGACATATAATAGTCAAGATCCCACAATCCAACACAAGAACAATATACTGAAAGCGGCTAGAGAAAAGAAACACATCACATATACAGGAAAACCCATCAGAATAACGGTAGACTTCTCTTTACAAACCATGAAGGAAAGAAGAGCATGGAAAGGAGTACTTCAAATCCTCTATGAAAACAAATTCCAGCCCAGACTACTATACCCTGCAAAACTCTCTTTCAAGTTTGATGATGAAGTAAAATATTTCCATGACAAACAACTAAAGAATTTCATGACAACTAAGCCAACCCTACCTAGACTACTAATAGATGATCTAGAGAGGGACCAAAACAATCAGAGCTCCATGAATGAGAATGGAAGGAACCCACTAAATAGGACAAACAATTAAACACAGGAGAAAAAGGAATAAACAAAGGCAGATAAATAGCATGTCAATCATAACTCAATACCTCTCAATTAAAACCATCAATGTAAATGGACTCAATTTACCAATTAAAAGAAACAGATTGGTGCAGTGGATTAGGAAACAAAATCCAAAAACATGTTGTATACAAGAAACACATTTAACTCATAAAGAAATTCAGAGCCTGAAGGTCAAAGGATGGAAAGCAATACTACATGCACCAGCAGCTCAGAAAAACACAGGGGGAGTAATCATGTTCTCAGATGGTCTCAAGTGCAAACCAAGAATGATCAAACTAAATAAAGAAGGCCACTATATACTAGTCAGGGGAAAATTCAAGAAGAAAAGGAAACACTCATAAATATGTGCACACCAAACACAGGAGTACCCAACTAAATAAGACAAATCTTAATGGACATGAAAATCTAATATCCAATAGCACAATCTTAACAGGAGAACTTAACACCCCATTATGCTAAAAAGATAGGTTAAGCTGACAAAAAAACTTCAAAAGAATTAGCAGAACTGAACCAGAACTTGGAACAAATAGACTTGGTGGACATATACAGAGTATTGCACCCAACCACAGCTGCATACACATGTTTTTCACCTGCACATGGGTCATTTTCTAAAATAGACCACATACTAGTCCATAGGTAATGCTTAAGTATATGTAAAACAACAGAAATTACCTCATGTATATTAACTGACCACAGTGCAATGAAACTGGAAATAAATGATGAAAGAAACCAGAAAAACCCCATAAACACATGGAAATCTAAACAATGCCCTATTAAACAATCAATGGGTTACCAATGAAATTAAACTAGAAATGGAACAATATCTACAATTCAATGAAAATTCAAGCAAAATTTATCAGAATTTATGGGATGCGATGAAAACAGTTCTAAGAGAGAAATTTATAGCTGTGAACACACACTTTAGGGAACAGGACAGCAACACATAAATACCCTAATGCTACACCTCCCATATATAGCAAAGGAAGAGCAAACCAAACACAAAGCCCAAAGATGGGAAGAAATCATAAAGATCAGAGAAAAAATTAATTCAATCAAGAAAAAGAAAACAGTTAAAAGAATTAACAAATCAAAAAGCTGGTTCTTTGAAAGATTAAATAAAATTGATAAGCCCTTAGCTAACCTCATCAAAAAGAGGAAAGAAAACATTCAAAAACAAGCAATAAGGAATGAAAAGGGTGTAATTACCACAGACCCAGTAGGAATTCAGATCATCATCAATAAGTACTTTGAGAATCTTTACTCTCACACAATTGAAGATACAGAAGAAATGGACAGATTCCTAGAAAGGTACAAATTATGAAAACTGAATCAAGAAGATATAACAACTCTCAATAGCCCAATAACAGCCAATGAAATACAAAATGTAATAAAAACCTACTGACAAACAAAAGTCCAGGACCTGATAGATTCACAGCTGAATTCTACAAGAAATTTACAGCAGATATAATCCCTATACTCCTCAAACTGTTCAATGAAATTGAAAAGGAAGCAATCATCCCAAAATCATTCTTGGAGGAAGTATTATACTGATAGCAAAACCAGGGGAAGACACAACTAAAAGAGAGAACTACAGGCCAATCTCCCTCAGGAACATAGATGCAAAATCCTCAATAAAATCCTAGCAAATAGAATACAGCAAATCATCAAGAAGATTATACACCATGACCAAGTAGCATTCATCCCAGGGATGCAAGGATGGTCCAATATATGCAAATTTATAAATGTAATACACTGTATCAATATAGCTGAATCCAAAAACCACATGATCATCTCATTCGATGCAAAAAAGGCTTTTGACAAAGTCCAACACTCATTCATGTTCAAAGTCCTAAGAAAAATTGGAATAGATGGCCTCTACTTCAAACTGATAAAAGCCATCTATGACCAACCAACAACTAAAATAACTGTAAATAGGGAAAAACTGAAATCTTTTACTCTTACATCTAGTACCAGACAAGGATGTCCTCTATCACCACTCCCATTCAATATAGTTCTTCAATCATTAGCTAGATCCATTACACAAGAGAGAGAAATAAAAATAAGAATAGGTAAAGAAAAAGTTAAACTATCACTATTTGCAGACAACTTGATATTCTACCTGAAGACCCAAAAACTCCACCAAGAAGCTACTAGAATTAATTCAGTAGCATAGCAGGATATGACAATACTTGTAGGGTAAAGTCAAAACCCAAAAGTCAATAGCATCCCTCTATACAAATAATAAGCACACTGAAAGGGAAATTAGAGAAACAATACATTTTATAATAGCACTGTAGAAAAAGAAATACCTTGGAATCAATCTAAATAAGTCAAAGATTTATTTCATGAAAATTACAGTATTCTGAAAAAAAGATCACAGAAGATCTCAGAAAATGAAAAGATATTTCCTGTTCCTGTACAGGAAGATACAACACCATGAAGATGGCCATACTCCCAAAATTGCCACTCATATTTAATGAAATCCCTATCAAACTACCACCAACATACCTCCCATAACTAGAGAAATCAAATTTATTTGGAACCAGAAAAGACCTAAAATAACAAAGGCAATCCTGGCCAACAAAGACAAGAAAGGAAGCATTACAATTCCTGATCTGAAATTACACTACAAAACTACTGTGATAAAATCAGCATGGTATGGGCAAAGAAATAGACCTGGGGAACAATGGAATAGATTAGAAGATGCAGAGACCTCTGCAAACACACTCAGCCATCTGATCTTTGACAAAAGGGGCAAGCATGCTTACTGGAAGAAAGATAGTCTCTTTAACAAATGGTGCTGGAAAAAGTGGCTCTCTACATACCAAAAACTAAAACTTGACCAACATCTATCACCATGCACTAACCTAAAGTCAAGGTGGATTAAAGACCTAAACATTAAAACAGAAACACTTAATCTCCTGGAAGAGAAAATAGATGGAAATCTTGAAGACATAGGGGTAGGCTAACAGTTCATGAACAAAAATCAAAATGCTTGGGAATACTTGAAAGAATTAACAACTGAGACTTCTTCTTATTAAGAAGTTTGTGCAAGTCAAAAGAAATTACCAACAAAGTGAAAAGACAACCCTCAAATTTTAAAAAAATCTTAAGTAATAAGCACTCAAAGGTCTGCTCTCTAGAACTGATAAAGAACTAAAAAACATTAGGGTCCCTAAATTTAAAGACCCAATCTAGAAATGGGCATCCGAGATGAACACACACTTCTCAGAGGACCAAATTAGAGAAGTGAATAAATATATGAAAAAATGCTCCGTGAAATACAAATTAAAACAACACTGAGATACCATCTCACCCCAGAAAGAATGGCTATCATAAAGAAATCAACCAAAAACAAATGTTGGAGAGGCTGTGGAGCAAAGGAACCCTTCTCCACTACTGATGGGAATGTAGACTGGTGCAACCTTCATGGGAATCAGTGTGGAGACTCCTTAAAAAACTAGGACCAGAAATCCCATTCAAACCAGCTATCCCCCTATGGAAATTTTCCCAGAGGAACTGAAAATGTCATATCACAGTGATATATGTGCACCTATGTTTATAGCAGCACAATTTATGATAGCCAAATCTTGGAAACAAGCAAGATGCCCATCACCTGAGGAATGGATGAAAAATATGGGGTATTTTTATACAATGGAGTATTGCTCAGCTACAATGAATGATAAACTCGAAGTCTTTATATTTAAGTGGATGCAACTTGAAGATAAACTCATAAGTGAAATAAACCAGACCCATATGTGTAAATATTGTATAATCACCCTAGTGTATAACGCAAAAGAAGAAATAAAAATAGAAAGGTATAACACAATTAAAAGGAAAGTGAGAATTTAACGGTTAAACAATGAAAAGAGGGCAAGGAGAAAAAGTAGGAAACATGACAGGGGCAACACCATACATTTATAAGCACAAGATGGTTAAGACAATGATTCTGAGAATCTTCAGCAGGGTTTTTTTGTTTTTTTCTGTTTTTTCCTTTTCCAGCAGGTTTTTGAAACTAGCAGTTAATTTTAGGATTCTCACCCTTTCTAACTATATACTGATACCTGTGAACTAAGCAACTTCACTGAATAGCAATGTGCAATACTAGGGTCATGCTTGGAATGTGTGTCCTTCTGATCTTCTAAACACGTACTGCTGGTCATGTCATATCAATTACTGCTATAACTGTCTCTCAAGTAAATGTTTTTAGAAAAAGGTAATAAATGAAAAGAAGAGACAAGAAAAAGAATGTCACAGGACTGTCCTGCTACAATAGTTATTCTAAATTTCTGTGTAAAAATATGTAATTGTTTATTCCTATTTTTAAATTTTCTTTTTATTTCTTTTTTCTCTTCGCATTCTGTAGGGATTTAAAGTTTAACATATCAATATTTGATGGAAAATACCTGATCCATACTCTGTCTAAGATGTTTGATATTCAGACCGATAGTGAGGTTAAGCTCAACTGCCTATGTTATAGGGTAATAATATCATTAAGCTTCTCTTCTGGAGGATTAACAACTTAAGTTTGCAGACCAAAAATTAGAGAAAAAGAAGAGCTGCAAGGACAGCCAACATTTTGGCCCTAGCCTTTCCAGGTCACTGAGGACTCAGGACATAAGAGAACCTGAACTATAACATCATTGTAAGTCAGTGATGTCCTAAATTTTCTGATCAAGGAGGTTATGGGGCCACAGAGGAAAGTGATCAACAATGTATACTGTACCTAAGGAGAATCACATGGAGAGAAAACATTCTCTCAGGCTTTCACAGAGCAAACTGGTCAAGCAATGGCCATGACTCATCCACATGGGTGACACTGACAAAGGATTTATAAACTGCAGTGCAGGGTTTCAGGATAAAGCCTGAGGTGATCTGACTGACCTTGTCAGATACAGAAGTTACATTTCTTTTTATATAGGTCTTGCTTTATCTTGGTCATAACCATCCAACATAAAAACGAGGTATAAAAATTAAAGCCACGTTAATATGCTGAGCTGTAAAAGGCTGAAGTAAACAACTTCTGACACTGCTACTTCTATGGATAACCTACAACTATTATGGGCTGCTGGACTGTACTGGATTATTTTGCTGAATTCACGCACCTACAATATTTAAATGGCAATGGAATATCCATCTCTGAGAAAGTGAAACAAGAAAGGAGATATAAATGAAGGACCATTTTGATTCTGTATATACAAAATAGGATAGATATACAGCTACTTTCTCTTAATTCAATGAGAAAAATATTTATACTAATAGTGTTTGGACAGGATATCATAAAAACGAGGTATAAAAATTGCATCTTGTACTATGAATATCCACTATGGAGACAACAATATGCAATGTATTCATTATTGAAACTGTTCTATTAATCAGTTCTGAAACTCTCTCATTGCTATTTGTTTCTCAATAAAAATCAAGAAAAAAATTTAAAAAAATTTTTTTAAATAAATCTTTGATCCATTTTGACTGTAGCTTTGTGTATGGTGACACATTAGCCTTCAGTATGTGGATTATTCAGCTATAAAACCAGGATAAATGCGAGACTTTTGTCAGTAAATGGACAGAAATATAGACCACAGTCTTAGGTGAAATAAATCAGACCCGCAAATGCAAACATCATATTGTCTCCTTACTGTGTGAACCTGAAACATAAAATGGAAACCGAAGGGTACAATAGATACTAGGGAAAGGGAATGAACTTATTCAAAAGGAAAGTTACTGCATTAAGGAGGACAGGAGAGAGAGTGGGGGAAAGAGATATATCTATGTATGTAAGCAGGATGGTTTGGACAGTACTGTGCATTTCTTCTGGTCTATGGAAAGAAGCAGATACTACTTAATTTGTTTTGTCTTGTCTTTTAATTATTTTCCCTTTTTCTCCTCTTAATTTGTTATATATTTCTTTTTTCTTTTTTCCAATTTTGCATATATATGTCTGGTAATATTAATAAATGGTTGGAAGACAACACTATGCATTATAACAAATACTGTGACATTCGTATTACTTTGGTAACTGGAATTCTGTATTATAATTTTTGTTTTAATACAGTTTTGTACTCTTTTAAAAAAATGAAAAAAACTCAACCAAGTAGACTAGAAACTTTATGTGAAGCTTATACTAAGACTTATACTAACTTCTTAAGAATCATGTATTACTTATACTCAAGAAGTCCTCAATCAGTTTGTTAAATAAGTAAATCAAAAAAATACATCCCAGAACAATGAACTGTTCTCTTACCCGTCCAGTCTGCTTTATTAATGCTTGATCATGACATGAAGCAGGACACAAGTGACCACATTTCTCCAAAACTTTTTGGCAAGGCTGATGGCAAGGTGGACAAGGACCAAAGTGACAGCGATGTTTTTCTTGACTTGTATGATGACATGCTGGTGGTCGACTAAATCATTAAGTACAAATTTAAAGTTACTTTTGATCATTGAACAATTGCACCTAAAGTGCAATAATCTACTTATGTATCTTCTGAATCCATGTAGAATGAGCATGTTATGAATATTTTAATACACTAAAACAAAATTAAAATACTAACACAACAAAAGATGGATACAAATGTAAACTGTAGGATATCAGATATAAGTCAGTCAAAGTGCATACCAACCTGCACAGCTCTTTGCATTTGGGTGGTCTTGTGGTTCGTTCTCGACCACAAGGCACTGTCACCTTTGCATTACCACAATTGCATTTCACATCTACAGTTTCTGGGCATGGATAGCAACTGCCTAAAAGAAACAGTATGACACTTAACAAGAAGTTACCTTGATTACCAAATATCATCAGTAGAATCCATACATTTAGTACACAGTATCTGCAAAATGTGAGAGCCTACAACAAGAATGAGAAAATTGACAGAAATATGAATGATTCTTTATACATCATAATAAGCAGAATAAGCCATGTATTAAAAAATGCAGTGCATTTATGTCTCCATATACATAAAGTAAATAAAAACTAATTTTTACTGTTCAACATCAGAATGATGATTATGAGGGATACAAGGATTTTGGAAATGCAGATAACGTTTAATTATCTGTATTCTGATTACATGGCTATGTTCAGTTTATAAAATTTCATGAGCCTTGCACTTATAATTCATATACTTTACTAATACCTTGAAGTTTTAGAAATTTCTTTAGAAATTTTTAAGTTTTTTGGACAAACTTAACCTGTTACTCATTCAAAGCAAGCAGCAAAATCTTTGGAAAATGTAACACTAATAGTAGTTTTTGCCTATCTACATGCAGACATCTACCCAACTACACTGTTTTTATATACTCCCCCACAAGTAGGAGTAACTTCTTCCTTGTGATCAAATGTTGAATATCACAAAGTACTTTCAATTTTTCATTATTTGTGCTATCTGAAAGAAATTGCAAATCTTCACCTCAGGTCATAATTCCAAATATTTCTCTTCTAAACATTAAAAAAAGGGGGGCCGGGGAGATGGCTCAGTAGAATAAGCACTTCCCTGGCAAGCGCAAGGGCCTGAGTTCAATCCCTCATTCTGCAAAAAAAATTCAAAAAAGAAAAGTAAGGGCTGGGGAGATGGCTCTGTAGTAAGCGCTTGCCTGGCCCAGTACAAGGGCCCGAGTTCAATCTCCAGCTCCACCAAAAAAAAAAAAGACAAGTTGCTGCATTTCAACTTTTCTAATCTGCTAAACCTTTTGAAACAGCCTACAAAGTTGTCCCTAAGAGGCTCTGATATCACAATGGCTTCCTCCGACTCTAGTTTTTGCAGTAATGAACTCTATTAGAAATGAACTTGTGGGCCAGGGAAGATAGCTCAGTAGAGTAAGTGCTTGCCTGGCAAGCACAAGGTCCTAAATTCAATCCCCAGTACTGCAAAAAGAAAAGAATAGAACAGAACTGGTAAGGAAGAAGTGAGTCTTCATTAAGGAATGGAAATCTCAGAGAAACTGATGCCTGGGTATTAAGATCAAGCAAAATAATGCCCAGTATTTATTCCAATTTTTAAAAAGAACAAGTATGGATAATACCCTGTTCTGTTACCTCTAAAAGTCAAAAATAACATCTGAATTAAGAATTTTGATTCAACGAGGTCCTGAGTTCAATCCCCAGTTCCAAAAAAAAAAAACCCTAATGTCAATAATGAGGAAGAGGCATCATACAAAAAAGCATAACATTAAATTCCTAAATTTATAATTTTTAGTGCATTGATAAATACAGTCCAATAGTCTTATCTTGATGGTAATACAAGCCAAGCCAAATTATCTTGACCCACATAAATAAGTTTTATTTTGATTTTTCCTAAAGAACTAGATGTTATAATTTTTAAGTTAATAGTGACATTTAAGTCTATGCTTGCTCAGCAGGTTAAATCAATACCTTTCACCCAACTTCAGTAATTCAGAGCAACTTATCGAATATAATGTTTTTGCCACACTAAAACTACAGCATTAGCTTTTTTAAAATCTTAAAAATAGTAAGAAATCATTTCACTAGAAAAGTTTTCCTACTAATCCAAAGAATTTTACAGATCCCTATATAAAATGAATGACACTAACTGAAATAATCTCCACAGTATTATTTTCAAAATTTAAAAGCAACACACAAAGAATAACTACAGTGACCACTGGTCAATAGCAAAAATGAGCAAGATTCAGATAATTTCAGAAGCATAAGCACAGATGACCTTAAACTTAAATTAACTAAAAGACATTTTCATATAATCATTAAGCAAATGGGTGATTAGTACCCTCTCCCTATGAATTATGATATTTTTATGACATTTTGAATATTGAAAATTATATAACAAGTGATTTGAAATACTTTGTTAAATAAATGACAGTCACACAACAGTGTTTTCCAAGTACTTTTTTAGGAGCTCATAGGCTTCTTTTGAAGCTAACAAACATCATCTTAGAAAAATATACATTGCCCAAAATACACAACTTGAACCTGATCAGATCTAAGAATTATAGGAACTAACATTTTATAGGAAATGCAACTAACAATTTATAGAAAATGAAGAGGACAAAGAAACATGTTAAAACAGGGATACAACCTGCAAAAGCCAGACTGAACAACCAAATAAAGCAAATCCGTTCAAATCTTAAGAAAAAAAAAAAAAAAAAGATGAAAGAGGAAAACTATCTATTAAGACACTTCAGAGACACATCAACGACAATATGCCAATATTTTTAGGTATCTGAATCATACAAACTAAAGTAAAAACATGAAGACATGTATGAGATACTTAGAAGTTGAACTTCAGATGTTTGTTGACATGAAAAATTATTTTCATGTGAAGAATCAATCTTTTAGAAATGAACAAGATATGAGAATGTTTTTAACATCTCCCCACTACATGTTTGATCTAGTTTTTCTATAGATACTCTTATCAGATTAAGAATAATCTTATGCTTCTAGTGTCATACATGGATGCTGGATCTTATCAACCAATTTTTAGATGTTTATATAGATGATTTTCTCCTTTAACTGGTTATCATGGTAAATCATTATAGACTAACAGTAAACCACTCATACATTATCAAAATACTAAATTCATGTATTATTGGAATACATTACTAAAAGACTAATATGCTAGTATCAGATAGCTGGATTTGAATGGCTAAAGCTTAAATTCTTTACAAAGTATATTTACATACTAACTGCAATTTTCTCTTACTTTCCTTGTCAGAAGAAGGCATGAGTTGGGCATGTTCTGTTTTTTTAGATACTCTCAAGTAATTTAGAAAGAGGTTGAATTATTCATGCTGTAAATGTTTATTAGTTAAAAATCATGTAAAAATTAAATAGGCCTACTACAAGTAGCAAAGTTTCCCACATAAAGGCCAGTGTTTTAGCAATGGTCCATTAGACCCTACCCATGTTCTCCTTTCCTCAGCAATCTCCAAGCCTCTATTTTCAAGGACTCATTCCTATCATCTGTCCCTTTATTACACTGTCCACTCTACACACTGCTTCCCAGCCTGAAACACTTCACGTTTCCACTCTTATGGGGCTTGGTCCTTAACTTTGAGGTCTCCCTCAAATGTCAACTTTTCAGAGTTCTCTCTTTTACACAGTATTTAACATAATATACAACCATTCACCATCACAACTGTACTCCACCTTTCTTTTAATAATTGTCCATTATCTAAAAGCCTATATTATTTGGATTTTATCAAGGACAGAGACTCTTAATAATTGACCAGGACCTAACAGCGTGTGTTAATTCATTTATTTGGATTTTACAAGGAGAGTAAAAAATTACATTCTCTAAGATCAAAGACTTCATCAATTTTGCTTACTCATAAAATCATAGTACGTAATACTTAATAAATGCTCAATGATATGACTGCAGTAAATCAGGAAACAATTTTCAAAGCACAATCTAAAGACATTAAGGGTGTAAGAGTCATTCAGGGAAGCCACAAGGTCTCACACAGATTTTCCAGATAACAGTAACAAACATTATCACAGAAGATTGAATGAAGAAGCAGGCATGTGACTCCAGGTATCCTTTATTAAATTAGATATTCAAGATATATGCGAGAAATATCATTAATACTATTACTTTTCCAGAAAACTTTTCAAGATTTGCATTAAAATGAAAGGGATTATCTGTACTTAAAGTATTATCACATTTTGTCTGAATATCAAATATAAAGTCCATGAATAAAACCATATAACAATAGCTTTGTGCCAGAGTCACAAAAAGTATGAAGAGTTCTTGAGACTAAAATATTTGAAAACTACTGCCAGGGATGTATCTAATCCCTTATTAAACTCTCTATGATGGGGCTGAGGAGACAGCTCAGCAGTCTGGCAAGTACAACGACCCAGGTTTGATCCCTAAAACTACATACTGTGCTGGCCCCAGAATGAAGCGTGGTGGCACATGCCTGTAATCCTACCGCTAGGGTGGCTGAGACAGGAAGATCACTGTGAGTCCGAGCTGTATACTGAGACCCTTTACCAAATATATAAATAAAAGATCTAAAATTTTTTTTAACTCCTTATGATGTATAAAATTCAGAATAAAATGGAAAGACCTATGAACATCATAATTCTCCCCACAGAAACTGCAGGGAAGGCTAAAAGGAAGTACAGAAACTGTATTACAGAAATAAAACTTATATTCAGAAAATTTGGGTTCAAATTTATGGATATTGCTATATTAGACATTTCCCAGAGTAATTCATGGAACCCTCTTTAACTTTACCACCTTATCCATAAAATACAAGAACTGGCAACCTCTGCATATACCTCCCTCTCATTAGAGGACAAAGAAGGTAATAATGCAAAAGCTCCATATTACTAAGTACATACAAACATAAAATTACAGCTACTGTTAAATTTTACCTCTGTGGCAGACAGACGGACACTTATGGTTTCTACATCCTAAAGTCCGCCCACAGTTTTGATCACAAGGTGGACAGTTCCCAGGGCAACACTGAAGAGAAAGCAATATATAAAGAATAGGTAATTTGAAAACCCATGCATAATATGAATGTCATTACAAAGTATTCACAGAATTTATGGAAAGTAAAAGATATTTTTCAATAAGAATAAAAATATTAAAGAATATCAACATTTTTCTGGTAAGTAGATATCCTATATTAAAATTTTCGAAGTTTAAATAGACAATGATCTAATTTTATAATATTAAGCTAAATTTTCTTGTCCCTGTTTCCCTGATATAATTTCATGTAACTATTTATGCAGAGATTTACATTCACTAAAAGAATGGGTCTAATCAAATGCACCTAACACCTTCAATTTAAGAAACTTGCCTGGCTTTTTTAATAATTTAATTAAAACTATTTCAATGTACAGATTAGTATGGCAGTTACTGTCAAACCATAGAATCAGAGACCAACTTTCAAAGAGAAGCAGAGATAGACTACCTGTATATATCTACTTTTCTTTGCCATGTCTCTGATTTCCACTCTCAGAAATACAGCTACAATTTACACTAATTTTCATTCATGAACACCAGGCAAGTACAATACTCTCATCCTACCTCCTTGGCTTCTCATACATATACCCAAACTTGGGAAAGTAAACAGAGACTACAATAGCATTAAGGAAACGTAGACTTGTATTTCATTAAAGAATAGTTCTATGTCAAAAAAAAGCTCCAAACAAAATACAAATTATTAAAAAGCAATTAAAAGACAAATCTGTTCATTCAGTTAGGCAATTATTGAGTAACTATGTACCTATCACTCCGCCAGTGGTAGGAGAGGAAATGTTATCTGGTCCATGACTTAATTAAGCCTATGGACATTACTGTTTCCAAACTGGTAAGAAACAGTATACTACACTTATCTTCTTATCTCAAACAACTAGAACAAAAGATAAAACATATGAAATTAGTTTTTAGATATTAATTAGGCATCAGATGATAGCAATCTCTGAGAATAGGGAAACCCAAAAAATAAGCCCTGCAATGGCATCAGCTTAGACCCACAGGTTTCCATGCTGTAGCATAGGAGGAAGATCACAAATAGAATCTGACAGTCTCAAGAAGATAAGCAGGTCAAGCACATAGCTATAGGGATGTCAAAGTGGCTAGAATTTACAGTAAGGAGGTACAGTAGAGAGAAAACTCTAAAAATCTCCAGATACACACCTTAAGTCTGCCTGAGTACTGGTCTACCTGTGTCAGAAAAAAACTACTATGTCAACTAGTGGAAGCAAAAGAGAATTTCCAAACGCTATGGAGGACTGGGAATAGTTTACAGCCTTATACTCAAAGTGGAAGAACTTCCTGAAATATAGACATCGAGTATTTCAGTTACTGCCTTAGGAGTGAGGGCAAAATACCCTAAACAAAAGGGTACTCTGTTCACATCTAATAGTATGAAGCCTGGAAAAGACCACATAGTTTCTAAGTAACTGAATTTTATCCCAGAACAAACCTTAAAAAATATTTAGAGAAATACAAAAAACCCAAAATCTGAAAATGTAAGTTCACAATGTCTAAAATATAATTAAAAAATTCCTGAGTGGGGCAAGCATGAAAATATAACCCAACCAAAGGAAACTGAGAAATGGAAGGTGATATAATCAGTAGACAAGGACATTAAGATTGGTATTATAGGGCCAGTCAAAATAACTCAGTGGATTAAAGTGCCTGCAAGCAGGTACATGGGCCAGGGGTTCAATCCCTGGGCCTACCATGTCAGCCCTGCCCCAGGGTGTGCTGAGATGACAAATGACACTGAGTATGGTGGAGCACACCTGTAATCCCAGCTCTTGGAAGGTTGTAAACAGGCCGATCACTATGAGTCTGATCTAGTAATGAGACCCTGAACATCCTGTAGACCCTTTCCTAAAAATACAAAAAATAAAATAAAAGAGTGGTATTATATGTTAAAGACAGAGGGAAACACACAAAACAGACACATGAAGGATTAAAAAAAAATCCAAGTCCAACTTTTAAGGATAAATTACAGATTTAAAATGAAAACCACAGGATAAAATAAAAAGACATCCAAAAGAAAACTGATGAATTTAAAGACAAACTGTATAAACTAATTACAACATGCAAATTAGAACTATGAGATAAAGCATCAGTGAGTCGTGGGACTTCATGTAGCATAAAAATCATTTCATCAAAGTCTCAGAAGAGGACATGAAAAGGAAATTAGGAGAAATATCTGATAAAAGATAAAATATTTCAAACACAGTACCATCATTTACATCTGAGGAGGTCAAACTAGAGTTCTATGATAAAATATTTTTTAAACACTAAAGATAGGTATTTTCAGACAAAGCTGAAAAACTTGATGACCAACATCATAAGAAATGTTAAAGGAAATCACTGAGACAATATAACCAGATGGAAACCTGAATCTATACAAAAATTGAGAAGCTCCAATAAATGCATATATATGATGATAAATATCAAAGATAATTTTCCTTACTGTTTCAAATTCTTGCAAAAAATAAAGCTAAAAGAAAAACTATGTATTGGAGATTCATAAAACAGCACAGAAAATGTATGAGAATTATATACTATAGGTCAGTAGAAAGATTTATATAAAATATTGCTAAAAGATTCTTAGAGAACTTCATTTTTTAAAAAAGCCTAAAACAATCACTCAAAAGGAAAAAAAAACAAGGTTATAGCTAAGAATCAAAGTAGGTAAAATGGAATCACTGAAAAACAGCATAAAGATTACAAAGAGTTGAAAGGAACAGGATAAACAGTAAGATTTTTTTTTTTTTTTTTTGCGGAACTGGGGATTGAACTCAGACCCTTGCGCTTGCTGGGGAAGCGCTTATTCCACTGAGCCATCTCCCCAGCCCCTAACAGTAAGATGTTAAGACAAATTCAGCCACAATAAAATTCACATTACGTTTATATGGTGTAACTAAATTAAATAACAAAGACTGTCAATTTGAATAAAATCAAATCTAAATGTTTTTATAAGAAAAACACTTTAAAATCTAAAAGAATGAAAAATAAATACCTTGCTAATTCTAGTCAAAAGCAAGCCTAAATTACATTATATTTCAATAAATATAGGAACAAGGAATCTTACCAGAGAAAAAATGGTAGTTCACAATGAATAAAGGAACTCAAATAATTACAAGTCTACAAACTCAATAAAATACTCCAAAAATACTGAGTCAAACATCAGTAATAAGAGAAGTCAAGTCTCTACCACCAAATGAACTATCACTCTAACACATTACTGATGTTTTAAGCCCTAGAACCAAAGTGAAAGGATTGCAGAACTAGACAAGACCTGTCATTCAAAAAGCAAGTATAGTTTCCCACTGATAAAGCAAAATTAACCTAAAATATTTGAGAATATTTCATATGAAAAACACATTTCCCTAAGCATTTGAAGCCCAAGTCAAGACAGGGCTTATCACAGTCATAAAGGAAAAAGTTCCATACAAGGTAGTCTCCCAAGCTTATTACACATACCTTTCTCCTACACTGGTGCTTCTGACAGTCACGCATCTTAACACACTTAGTTTCACATAGATAAGGTTTATGACATGGCATTAGTTTTGTATGCTTGCCACAGCGACAATGCTTTTCCACTTCCTAGAATAATCAAACAAATGGCATTAAAACTGAGTTTTTTTAATGTTTCATTCCCATGTTGCAACTTTTGTGATTACTAAATCATCATGGACAAAAATCTTAATAGTAAACATTATGAAAAACTACCAAAACCAAGTCTCCTAAAATATCCTTTATATCTTACTTCATTCTAAAAAGTGTTTCATGAGACTTTGTTACTAAACTTAGTAGAAATGACATTAACCAATAAAAAAAATTACATATTAAAATCACCTACATTCAATTACAGCCATAATATTCTCCTTGTCACAGTACAGAAAGAAAACTGGATTATCTGGTAAGCTAAATTGTTAATTTATACTAAGGTCTAAATATATATTCTTTCATCACAACCTCACACTGGACTATAAAAATGAGAACATTAAAATTTTACCAAGAGGGGCCAGGGAGATAGCTCAATAGAATAAGCATTTGCCTGGCAAGTGCAAGGGCCTGAGTTCAATCCCTGGTTCCGCAAAAATAAATACATAAATAAATAAATAAATAATTTTTACCAAGTAAAAAGGTTATACTTAGAATTGCATGCCATTGTACAATACCGCTTCTTACTATAAATATTAGGTCATGAAATTCATATAGATCATTATGTACATTTACATGAAAGTAAATAATGGAAAACAGTAACAGGATAATATTATTGATAAATTATGTTAGGTAACTCTTAAAAGCATAATTATTACAGGAGATTACTAACTTGTCTACATGTTTCACAAGGACCTCGGTGACAACGTTGTGAGCATCTATGAATTCCACACTCCAGTACTTTGTCACAGCTGTCTCCACAAGTTGGTACATCTTCTGTACAAGGCAAAGAAAACTCTAAAAGCAAATAAAACATTGTTTTCATTAAAACTAGCATACTATCATATTCTTTAAGCTTCCTGAAGAACGACCACCCTTTCAAATTACAAAGTTTTGTACCACATGATTACTAGAAAAATTACTTTTAATGCAAATAATACCTACTATTTGTCAAATTTATGTTCTTTAAAAAAGACATTTGGTAAATGACAAGTTATCATGCTTAAGAAATATTTTATGGGCTAGTCAGAAATAGTTATTTAAAAAAGATTATGTAAAACTCATGAATTTCCACAATGTACAGAATTATTCATTTGCTTTTAACCATAAAGACAGAAAATAAGTACTTCAGAATATTAAAAAAACTCCCTTTTAGAAAACTTATCATGACAAGTACTATATTAGAAATAATCTTTAAAAATGCTATTAAAGGAAGCAAACTCAAACTAAAATCCAACTATGCCATATCCCAAAATAAATTTCACCTACAACTTCAATGAAAAGTGATAACAGTGATAGCAGCACAGCCTCCTCTCTTACCAATATCACCCATCAGAACTGTTATGACTGATGAACCTGAAACAATATCATGTACTAGCTTCACTACCCCAAAAGATCCTATGCTCTGCTTATTCATGTCTATCTCCCTAATATTTGACAGTTACTGATCTTTAACTATCTCCATAGATTTGACTTTTCCAGAATATCATATAGTTGGAGTCCTATAATATGTAGCTTTTTCAGATTAACTTCTCTCCCTTCATAATATACATATATGTTTTGTTATGGCTTGATAATTTATTTCCTTAAAAGAATGTCTTGGCTGGCCAAATAGCTCAGTGGACTAAAGCATCTACTTGGGCAGAGCGCAACAGCCAGTTTGATCCCCTAGCACGTTGTTCGTGTCCTGCCCCTGGGGCGCGCTACGACAGACGATTCAGACTGGGAGACTGGGTGTGGCAGCATGAGCCTGTAATCCCAGCACTTGGGAGGCTGAAACAGGAGAATCACTATGAGTCCAATCTACATAGTGAGACCCTGTAGACCTTATACTAAATACAAAAAAAAAGAAAAAGAAAAAGAAAAAGAAAAAGAAAGAAAGTCTTACTTGATTTCTGACATGGACAGAACCTTTTCCCAGATCGGGGACATTCTCCACAAGCACCAACATGGCAGACTTGCTCACAGGTATGATTACCACATGGCAATATTTTTCCACATACCTAAAATAACATAAGCACTAGTCAAAGATTTAAAATTTAACAAAAAAGCTTTATACAAAATATAATACATTTTCAACAAAAATAATTTATGTTCCCTGCATTATCATGTTTTACATTTTACACAGAAGTCATATGTATGAATACATTATATGTATGTATGTATACGCATATATACATATATTTTAAAACATCATAAAACAATGGAGAAAGTAAATATATGTTCTTTCATTAAAGATCTCCAAATAGGACTAAAACCATGCCAATCACACCTGCAGGAAACACATAAGGCCACAAGGTATCTTAAATTCTCCCTCACATACTTCGTCACACTAGTGAACAAGCTCACTCCTTTATTGGAATGAACTCAAGGAGGAGAATTAAGTGTTGGATGAAAAAAGAAAAGGAGTAAAGGAAGGAGAACAAAAAAGTAAGAAGTAAAAATGTATTGATTTCAAAATTAAAAACAAGTAGCTATTACTTCAACACTTTGTCCTTCAATAATTACAACATTAAATTGAAAAGAAACTCCTAATCCATCATTTAGTTGAACTGAGTTACTATTTGCTTATCTTTTATCCAGCTAAACCTCAAGTAGTAGTCTTCTAGTAGTTTATGCTTCCCACATTGCCAATGTCCTCTGAAAATACGTAGGCACCTACTTGATCACAGTGCCACACTGGACTTGCACAGCTTCTTTCAGCTACTTTTTTGCCACAGACACATTTCTGCCTACTAACCCTGGGACAGGGCTGACAATTTCCTAAAATCAGAATGATAAGTCAGCACACAAACATTATAAAAGCAATAAAAACTGCTTTGACTTTTGCTTAAAGTCAGAATACCTAGTAAGAACTGCTTTTTACCTGCATGACAAGGATTTTCACACTGATGTTGCGCACAAAGCAACTTCCGCCCACATGGCTGCTGGCAGGACCACTCTTTGGCACTGCATCTATGAGGGATGGGCTTTGCTTTCTTACAATAACAAGTAGTTGTAACCATCTTTGGACAAGGAGGGCAAGGACCTAGAATCCAATGAAGAAAATCAAGAGAAATGCAAACTTTTAATTCCTATACCTGTAAGTAACTTCTAAAACTTAATACTTTATAAAAGGCTGTGCTTTTCAATATGTTTTTAAGGCAAACTTCAGTTCTCAATCCAATGTTCACCATTTTTATTTTACTTCAACATCAGGAAAAAAAAAACACACATAAACAATAAAAATGTAGTATGTAACGCACCTGGGTGACAGAGGAGTAAACACTTATGGCCACATGGTGGTTTAAATTCTCTCCCACACACTTGGCCACATGAATGAGGAACAAGCCATGGATCTAAAGGTGGATCTTCTACTTTTCCACAATAGCAATAGTACCTACTAGGTGTTTCTGATCGTTTGTATTCAAACCTACATTTTGGACTATACAAAAAAGAATAAAATTACTGAAATTAATTTCATCTTTAAAAACAACAGGAGAAACAGGAACACAAACATTCTAACAGACTCATTTCCATCTTTACATTAGTAAATAAAACCCAAGAGCTTATCTATTTAACCATGTAATACATCTCTGTGTTACACGTTGGGCTTTATACCTTCACAGTTCAGTACAGCAGCCACAGCCACATACAGCACTTTGAGATGTGGCACATAACACAACTCAGCAAAGATCAGAACTTTTTTATAGATAAAATTTGTGAGTCTTTTAGATTTAGCAGAACAACAGCAGCTCATTGTTCGCTTAACCTGTACTTTCCTCGCCTATGGCAAATCACTATATAAAATAGAAGTAGAAATGAGAGTTACAATATTTAAAAACCTAAATAGCACAACATGGGTAGATGCATGTATTAAACATACATAACTAAGATACAGCTACAAAAATTAAACAACACTAGCCTTCTACTAACTACATACAACTTTATTCTTGAGTTAACCTTCCAGATTGTTACAAAGCTCAAGTTAGCAACAGCAAATGGAAAAGCAGACAAATTAAATCTAGAATATAGAGGAGAAAATCAGAAGTAATAAATCTTATAATTTTCAACATGTAATACAAAAGAGTTGTAATATGCCTAAGAAAGAAAAATTCAAACACTATTTAATAGTTTCCGCTATAGGAGCAAGATTTGCCACCTATATTAAAATAAGTTCTAGCACTAAAAAATGTCAACCTCTAACTCTATTAAAAATCCAAATGTGGATCATAGATACTCCATTCCAAAAAGGTGGCTCTAAGGCTCACTGTCCAATAACCAAGTATAGTTAGTATACTACACCAGGACAACAGTTTTGCATAGCCACTTAAAATTTCTGAATCAAAATCAACTGCTTTTACTGTTGTGAAAACACGTGTTTCCAAGTAAATATGACACGAATGTTCAAAATGACAAAAGATATGCATGTTATTAAAAACAAAATACAATGTCTCATCTGTTATGGATAATGTACTTTGTTCAAGTAGTTAAATTACTCTACTGAAAGAAAGCTTGTGCCAAAGAAAAGCTTATCCTTTTAGCTATATGAAGATATGTACTTTTAATAAGTTTCCATGAGGATAGCTTATAAGCAACTCAGCACCCATAATGCACTGAGACAAAACTATTTTGGTGAAACAAATGCATAAGGTTTAAAACAGTGGATGTCTGCAACAAAATGTAATGATGCTCTCTATACCTTGTTCCTCAAAAAAAATTTATTAAAAAAAAAAAAAGGCTTGGGAGATGGCTCAGTAGAATAAGCGCTTCCCTGGCAAGCACCAAGGGCCTGAGTTCAATCCCTGGTTCCACCAAAAAAAAAAAAAAAAAAAAAAATTATTGCCATATAACAACCAATTTTAAACATTTTTAGCAAGACCTAGCTCCATTTTGAAAAACATTAAGCAAAATGAATTCTCAAGTGGCACAGCATTTTCTTTTTAAAAATTGTGAAATATGAAATGTAAAAGACACTATATGGTAGACAAAATTTGCAGTTCTTTTACATTTAGAAGAACAACAGCAGTTCATTGTTCTCTTAACTAGTACTTTCCTCCTCTCTGGCAAATGACTACATAAAATAGAAATAGAAATGAGAGTTAAGGGTGAAAAAAAAGTTGCATGTAAAGATTAAATTTCTAAAACTTAACAAATTACAGTAGCTGCTTTAATTTGGCATCTATTAAATACCAAATTTCCTTTACCAAAAAGTACATAATATAGAATAATAAGCATACAATTTGAAATTTTAAACTGTTTCAAAGATACATGCATTCAATGAAGAAAAAATAAGTATATCTAAAAACAATACTGCAAGACAATATTCAGATAGAAAAATAAGACAAAGTACTAAATTAAGAAGTCAGAAATACTAGGTTTCAGGGCCAGGGAGCTAGCTCACGGGTTTAAGTGCCTGCCTGGTAAGCACAAGGTCCTGAGTTTAACTCCTGGTAAGTAAGTAAGTAAGAAAGAAGAGAGAGAAAGGGGGGAGAGAGAGAGAGAGAGAGAGAGAGAGAGAGAGAGAGACACAATAGGTTTCAAATCCTCATTCCACTTCAATTATCATCAGTGGTAGCAGGCAAATAAAATTTCTCACTGAGTGACCAGAATTACTCTTACAAAGTAATACCTACACCTAAAACATTATTTAGGAGGATTAGGATTACAGGTGTGGTGGCACATGTCTATAATCCCAGCAGTCCATAAACTGAAGGTGGATTATTGTGAGTTGTAGACCAGTGGGGGCTACAAAGTGAGCTCAAGGCCAGTCTAAGCTGCCTAGCAAGACCCTGACTCAAAAAGACCAAAGAAAAAAGAAATTTACACTACACCACCATGATTTTACAAATGCATCAATAGTACAAAATGAAGGGAAGTCTGATGAAGAAGCAGCTTTTGTGGGACTAAATCTTATACAACTTAGAGCATCTGTTAAGAAATAGAACATGAAATTATAAATAAAATTAGTTACAAAAGTTAGAAAATACGAACACACAGAATCCCAGAGTTTATGCTTTATTACCTTGACAATGTACCCCTTTTGTGTTGTCAATACGTATAAATTTCTATTAACATTATTTAGCTGATAATTTCCTTCCATTTCTCCACTCTCTCAAAATATATCAAAAATTCAAGATCAAACGATCAAGAATGAGTAAAATTAATAAAATAAATGTAGAAAACTTAATTTTATTAGCTATTATAAACATCCTATTTTGAGATTTTTTGAGGATAGTCAAGAAGTCTATGATTAAAATGCCAGATGACAATCTCGTAAAATGTGACATTAATGTATGTTAACAAAAACTCCAGAAGAGAGGTACCACATTAAGGTGAAATCTCAGTACTACAGAAAAGAAATGAAGTCCCTTAAAACCATAATTTAAAAGTTGTTTTGATACAAAAATTCTGAATGACTTATGAATTATTGAAAGAAACTAGTAATTACACAAATTGAAGGGGGGGAAGGCTATCAAGATGTCAAGATGTCATAGCTTCATAAGCCAAATGACTAACTGAAAGCTAAACATAAAATTTTCAATAAGGCAATTTAATGTTCTACGATTTTCATTTATTCTGCAAATTAAAATCCAACTAGTTTAAAAAAGTTACCAAGGCCAAGGATAATCTCTTGTTCCAAAATCATCATCAGTCAGAGAAGACAGAAGAAACTGGCTATCTTTAGCCCACTTCTGGATACAGGGCATGTGAAATATACAGAAACATCCCGAACAGCTCCAAACCTAAAGCGAAGATATCAGAAATTAACCTGCACATAATGAATTTTTGTTAAATCCTTAGTATTTTAAAGTAAGTATACTGGTACTGCAAAAATAAATAAATTAAATTAAATTAACACTATTAGTAAACTAAGTATCACACTAAAGTATTTTCAACCTCAGGATTATAAAATACTATCTTTCCCTCTTGCATAATACAACAAATACAATTTGTAAAAATATATTTAGGTATAAAACACTTAAAATATCATTAATACCCAGATTAATCAACTAGAAATAACTACAGGTAGAATTCTGGACAATCTTCATTTTCTTTTTAATATATATGCTTTCCTTTTTAAAAATGAAGTTATAGTGGAAGACTCATATGTAATTCTACAGTGTTCTGTTTTAATATGGTATAAGCTTTTATCATGGTATAAGCTTTTATATTTATCAAATATGTTCATACAACATGAAATTCACAGTTTTACAGTATACCAGTGATGGCAAGCTTCTCAGAGTTTTCAATGATAAAGAACAGTCCACTGCAGCACATATGCTATAAGTTTGCCACTAGTATAGTATTCATATAGATTCATGTACCATAACTTAACTTCTTGTTGGAAATTAGGTTATTTCCAACTGTAACAACAGTAGGCCGGGGAGATGGCTCAGTGGAATAAGCGCTTCCACGGCAAGCGCAAGGGTCTGAGTTCAATTCCTGGTTCCGCCAAAAAAGAAAAAAGAGAAACACCAACTGTACCAGTACAAAACAATCTGTAATATAAATATGTCCATGTATCTTTACATAGCCTTTTTGTTAAATAAAACCTATTAGTCTGGCACTTAGTGCTAAATTCTAAAAATTAAGTGAGCAAAAATGGAAAAGTTTAATGAATAATTGTTTCAAAGCCTGCCAACACTAATAAAATGACAAAAATTGCTTTTGCTTTCCTCATAATATTGTGCGACTGTCTGGATTAATCAGCCATATTGTGTAAGCTGGCAAAGCATAAAAAATGCCAACTCATTAGTTTGAGATCACCCTAACCAGTGCCTTACATAAGCACTTAGATGGAAGAGACAAGACAGGGAAGAAGTTGAAAAGAAAAATTTGCGCTATTATGTTTGTTTTTTCTTTTGTAAGAATTGTATTGGTTTAGGTCTTATACTGAGTAGTGTAAAGATGACAATAGAGAGGTATAATAACTACTGTTATCCTTTTACTTGGTTATGAAATTTTGTCCTTTTTCATTAAAGACATGAATAAATGATATACTGATATATTGATTTGATTTCTACTGAGGACAACAGCTGCTCAAACTTACAGGGGGGCTTACTACAGAGCCACATAAAACATTCCTTGGATCACTCCAGTCCCACCTTTAACAAACAGAAGTCTGGAATACTAAACCACCAATTCCCAATGTTGGCCCACATGACATTAACTGTCCGTGCTGCACACAGAACTATAAATTGCACTTGATCTTAGCCAAAAGGCTGAGAAGTGATTCAGACCTGTAAGTTAGCTAAATAGCTTTCTAAGGAAAATACCTTAAGGTGGGCTGGAAAAACACAAGCCATCCACAGAACAAGGATTTAAAGTAGACTGTATGCACATGCAGACAAACTGTTCAGGGGTCAGGGAGATGGCTCAATAGAATAAGTGCTTGCCTGACAAGCGCAAGGGCCTGAGTTTAATCCCTGGTTCCAAGAAAAAAAAAAACCTATTCACTACAGCTGAAATCAAAATAGCCCAAAGAGATGCCACACTGACCACCAAAACACCTCCATCTGCTACACTATCCTTCCCAACTTGAACAACTTAAATTTCTGATTCTTTATACTACCAATCTGTTTTATCTAGCCTGATATTCTTTCTGAAGGAAACAAAGCTATAATAGCAGTGAACTAATCTGAAGTCTAAAAACTGAATGTATCATATTTAGTTGTCACACCTCTTTAATTTACTTAATGCCCTTTTAAATTCACACACAGATAACTCATCACGAGCTATACCTCTCTAAGGACACGACTTAGGTCTGAATCTTTCCATACGTACTGACTTTTGTCACTTCGCATGATGTCATCAACACAGAAGAAACTAAATAAATATTACTGCCAACTTCTAATTCCTAAAGAGCAAGGACTATATTTATCTCTTTAGCCAACCCACTGAAAATAAGGAAATGCAGTGTATTTTAGCATTTCACATTTGAGTGAATTTGCAAACTATTGACATGAAAAATGTGTTATCAAATCCATACATATATTAAAACTGACAATGTATTAATAGTGCTATAAAAATATTGAAAGATCAATTAGCTTTTCTTAGGTTTCAGATTTACAAAGTAAAGGTCAGTTCATACATGAAATTCTCTGGTGAAGCATATTTTTGTACATAAAAGCAAAAGAGCAGATGGTCAAATATTATCAATGCAAAATATTTTGAGGAGATGCATTTACATTAAAAAGGAAAAAAAACTTACTGCTTGGTTTCTCTTCACTGAAGCAATACAAATTAAGCATGTCATAGCCCCTGCTTGAAAAGCTTCATTTATATATTGTTTTGTTCGCTCTAATTCACGTGTATCTCCATCTTGAAATGTAAAAATTGAAAATCTCAAGTTAAGCATCAATTGAAAATAACACCAACTCATTACTGCTATATTATATACCACCTGTCAAGCAATATTAATTGCTCAAAATGTGACTAAAAATAAGAAAGCTTAAAAGAAGTACCCAACAGCTGTTAAGAGGTTACAATGTCCATGAATTAAATTAATAAGCTTGATTCAAAAACTGTATCTCAGCTCTCTCTTAGCATGTACTTACTTTTCTTGCTGTAAAGTTTGGTAGAAGCAGAACTATAGGCAAGATCAACAAGACACAATGTAATAAGGGAAAACAAAAAAAAAAAGTGAGAAAGAAAATAAAAAGTCATAAATAAGACCACTTAGTGTAAACTTAAGCATAAGTGTGCGGGTGTACAAAGGGCATTTATCATACAACATATTCTTAACAAAAACACGCTGAATGAAAACAATCTGGTTATTATCATATAATAACCATGTTCCATTAAATTATGTTTATTATTTCAGCTATAAAAGGTAAATGTTTAAAAAATTAGTACTAGACTATTTTTTTGGCAATTATTAAGTATCTACACTATTAGTATTTCCATCGATTAAACGAACTATTATTGTCATGTTACAGATGAAAAATATGAAACGGAGAACAAACCCTATATAATGCTACAAAGAGCTTTAGCAAGAAGGTCCCAGAAATAAAATAGTAGCAAAAGAGAATTTGTACCCCCAACACAAAAAAATGACACCAAAGGGGCAATAAGGGCCAGGGAGATAGCTCAGCAGACTAAGCACCTGCTTTGGCAAATGCAGGGACCAGGGTTCAAACCTGAGTTCCTCATGCCATGCCAGTACCACCCCTGGGGCACACTGAGCTAGCAACTGAGTCTGGGCCTGGTGGCACACACCTGTAATCCCAGCATTGGGGAGGCTGAAAACAAAAGATCACTATGAGTCTGAGCTGCGTAGTGATGCCCTGCACCAAAATATATAAGAAAAATAAAAAATAAAAAAGGGGCAATAATCTTAGCCACTTTAGAGTGAGAAAAATAATCCTACCATGTCATTAATACAATACAAACTATCCAATACAGTTACTGAGTCTATAAGAAAAAGAGATTAACAGTCTAAGCTAACACAAATCAGAACTCACCATAGCAATAGCTTGGTTTAAAATAAAATCTAATTCGACAAAAAATTAAGATACAAGGGTAATTATAATTTCTATAATCATCTAAGTAAACACAGCACTAACAAAGCTTGGACCTTCCATAACATAAACAAATGTAATTTAGGCTATTAAAAAACTACTTCTATGGCAAGGGATATAGCTCAATGGCATAAGGCCTGCTTGGCAAGGACAAGGTCGTGAGTTCAACTCCCAGTACCAACATAAATAAATTAAAAACTACATGTAAAAGCACTCCCAAAATACAGTTATTAATAATAGTTTTAAAATATCCTTAAAGCAAAATAATTATAGTCAATATGCTTTTTTCACTTTTCAATACAGCTGGCTTTAACAAACATGTATTTTAAATTTTCTCTAATTTAACAGTTGATTTGTATAATTTAAAAGTAAAAGGGGGCGGGGAGATGGCTCAGTGGAATAAGCCCTTCCCTGGCAAGCGCAAGGGCCTGAGTTCAATCCCCAGTTCCGCAAAAAAAAAAAAAAAAAAAAAAGTAAAAGACAAGATATAATAAGCTTTTACAAAATAAAATCTGGCTTTATATTTAGAAAATTTATGAAAGATTCTTGAAATTTGTATTAAAAGTTTGGCTGTGATAATAAAGTCTACTACCCAGTAGGTCAAACTGGATGGCATGGCATCTGAAGTCATGCTTTCTAAAGAGACCAGTCTGGCAAATGGGAAAAAAAAAAAAGTAACAGGAAGCCAAGACTAAAAGCAGGAAAAAACAGTCATAGGTTACAGCAAGTAAAACAAGAAGTGATCTTGAATAAGTTAACCAGTATGTCTGTTTTATAATCTCTTGAATAAAAATAAACACTTCACTGAATTTAATCCACATATTGAATGGCTAGCTGTATAGGCCTAAGCTAGGTAATAATAGTATGTAGAAGAAGGATAGATTTATGAAATTTAGAAAGCAAAACTTAGGCGGCTTTGGTGACAATTAAACTGTGTTACCTTAAAGATAATGTCTATATCAAGACTGAGAAGAAAAACATGCCCTGTTTGAAGAGGTGCCTAGCATGGCCAAGGGACCATGTATTAGTCAGTGGCAACACTCATGTCACCTATGTGCCATCCCCGCTCCCAGATTTCTGGTTTGCGTGAGTGACTAGAAGACTGTGGTACTATTAACAGAGGTAAAGAAAACGAAAACTGATTCATATATCCTGTATATCTATATCTATATTGATATAGTGGCCACACAAAATCAAAAGTTCTGAGAATAAAGGGCCGGCCCAATAGCTCAGCAGATTAAAGCACCTACAAGCAGGCAAAGGGGCCAGGGTTCGATCCCAGTCCTGCTGTGCTGGCCCTATCCCTTGGGGCGCACTGAAATGGCAATTGAGACTGGGCCTGGTGGCACGCACCTGTAATCCCAGCTCTTGGGAGGCTGTTAACAGGCGGATCACTTACAAGTCCGATCTAGTAATGAGACCCTGAACAACCTGTAGACCCTTCCCTAAAAATACAAATAAATAAATAAATAAAGTTCTGAGAGGAATCACAAAAGTGCTCAAATAAATATGGACTCTCTTAGTAAAGTCCTGGCACTCAATACTAATATGTGGTAGAACAATTCAACACTGGCATTTCTTGTTGAAAAACCAAATAGTTGCTCACATCCATAGGAACAAAGTGCAGAAGACAAAAGGAATGAAAATTAAAATATTTAATGATGTGACACAAAACAGTGGATAAAAAATAATCTTAACTTTTTTTTTTTTTTGCGGTACCAGGGATTGAACTCAGGACCCAGCGCTTACCAGGCAAGTACTTATTCTACTGAGCTATCTCCCCAACCTTAATCTTAACATTTTAAGAAGAAAACTGTATTGAAAACAGATACAACTCACCAAAGATATTTTCTAAGCACTAAAAAGGTAACAACAACTTACATTACCATATTTCCTATTTATTAAAATCAGCTTCTATCTTAAATAGTTTAGGGGGATCTTTTTTATTTTTATTCATTTTAATGAGAAAAAAGATAAAATAGCAATAAAACAGTTTCAAAACATGTTAGTATGACAATTACAATAACTAGTACATTGCATACTGTCTTTGTAGCAGTTATTCAGAGGACAAGATGCAGATATGATATCTTGTCTAAACAATATTACTACAAACCTTTCTTCTCATTGAACTAAGAGAAGGTAGCTGTATATCTATTCTATCTTGTATATACATATATATTTTTTTCACAACAAAATGGTCCTTTATTTATATCCTAAGGGAGATCTTCTTAAAGCACAAAACTTCTATGAAGTTGTCCAAAAACAAGAAACTCCTACCCTTAAAGTTACTTTTCATCCACTTTTACCTAGCTGAGCTAGACTCCTTAGCCAAACTTCTGAAACTTAACTCTTTAGTGGATACTGCAAATTCCTTGGAAAACTATCTGACCACATGTATCTATTCTTTATGATTCATCCGCATACAGGACTAACTAATTACCCATGATGGTTATGAGGTAGGAGGGGAGGGGACAAAGTACATGAATCATTCTGCTCCAGACTTGATTAACACTTGTGCTCCTTTATTCCAACTCAAGCTCTTCTGTACCCTTTTGTGACATCCCTGGCCTTGTTCTTCTCAAGAAAGTTCAGTATAAAAACTAAGAAACATATCGGTAGGGAGCTAGGATGGTCATCTAATATGTGGCCTTATGACCACGGGAAGACAGAATAAAAAAGAAATATTCTCAAAAAGTCAATGAGCAAGAATAAGCTGTGGTAAGGGCTGGCCAGATAGCTCAGCGGACTAAAGCACCTGCTCAGGCAGAGCACAGTGCCCAGAGTTTGAGCCCATGAGTGCCGTGCTGCCAACCCCAGAACATGCTGAGAAGGTGATTGAGACTGGTTATGGTGGCATGTGCCTGTAATCCCAGTGCTTGGGAGGCTGAAAACAGGAGGGTCACTATACGCCAGATCTATGTAATGAGACCTTATAGACACTGTCCTAAAGAAATTAAAAAAAAAAAAAAAAAAATGAATAAGATGTGGTAGAAAGTTTCTAATAATGAACCTAACAAAATAAATGTTATATGAAACAAATATAAAGCATATACTTTACGACAGACATTTCTGATTTATTTCATCCTCTCCTCTCTAAGGGTATTTACCATCACTGTATCAGTTTTACAGAAGAAAGAGACCAGGTAGTATGCCAAACATCACATAGCCAAATGGAAGACAAGATTCAAACTTGGCAGGCTGGCTGGAGAGTTCAATGTTCTTAACCACTACACAATGCTGATTTTTCCACCATAAACAGGTACAAGAGCTATACTCTACCTCAAAATTTTTCTGCTGTTATCTAGAAAATACAATTTGCCAGTACTTGCTTAACAAACAACTAAGTAAACTAGGTTTAAAACCCGGCTCTGAAATGAGCAGCTAATGCTTAAATTTTTTTTCTTTGTATTTGTATTTTTTTTCCTTTTTAATTTCTTATAACTTTTTGTTGTTGTTGGGTTTTTTAACCAATTTTGTATGTTTATATCTGATAACCTAAACAACTAATTTGAAGATAACAGCATGCGATACAGCAACCATTATTGAATTCCTATTACTTTTTTAGTGAAATTTTGTATCCTTTCTAATGCTTTTTTTTCCTATTTTGTATTCTTTAAAAAATAAAAAATAAAAAATTCTAGTTCTGTCATTTACTGAATCAGTTCTGCTATGCAATTTTTTCCTAGACTATTTCTAGTTTCTTCTAGTTCTAACCGGCTCCTACAAAGACAAAAATAACTGAGTAAGAGTATAAATATATTACTAACATAAGAATATATAAATAATACACTAAGTATTTCTGCAAATACATTGCTGAATGTTGGTAGTACGTGCAAGAATATTTCTAATAGAAACTTTAAGCATAGAAAGTTTTAGAATATCTGCATTTCCCTTTAAAAGAATCTACTTTTATGATTTAATACTAAGTCATACACACGATTTAGCATCACTTTGACTGTTTCCAATAAATATATATGGCTTCAAAAGCAACCCAGATACACCCAAGATAACAAGAATATATACATTAGACCTGAGATTTTAAAAATATGAAAATCAAATGTGATGAAGATATGTAATATAAAGTACAGGAATAAAAATGAAGAGGTCAAGACTTTCAACACAATGAGAAAGAGAAAAATTAAAAAAGCTAAAGAGGGATCCAAAGTCCTTTAGCCAAGTCATAACTAGAGATAATTTGCCCTGGCTCTTGCTCAGGGAGCTTTGGGAGCCCCATCCAGCATGCTACTGAAATGCTAGGCAGTGAAAGAGCCATCCCCAGTCAATTTGCTTACCTGCCTGAGTAGTGTATGTTATAAATGTTTTAGTAACTATTTTTCCCTGTTTCCCTTCAAAGTCTTCATCTCCTTCCTCTTCAGATGAAGAACTATAATGTTCTTCAACAAGTTTTTTGGCTGCAGCTTGGTTAGCCTTCTTAATTTCCTCAAATTTCTTCTGAGACATTAGCTCTGTTGAAAAAAAGTTTTCATTTCTATAAAACAATCTCAAAAAGCTAGGGAAGACATACAAATAATGTATCATTTCTACACATGCATTTGAAAATCATCTTGGAGTAATCTATCTTGTTGAAGAAAGTTTCAAATTTCTTGACCCACAACAAAACTCACTTTTGTATGTTTCTCACTAATAGTAACCAGCACAGACAGTATTTTGTGTGTACCGCCCAAGAGCTTCCAGTTATTTTTTTTGTGGACACACACAAAAAATAAATATATTTAACATTAATCCACAAAAAAGTGTTAACATGAAAAATTTTCTTCTTACAACTTCATGCTAAAATCGAAGTAATCTAAAATAATCTACTTTTAGATTATTTTACCATTCTTTCTAGCACTCTCTGCACTCTCTGTACTCCTTTTGTTACCTGATTAAATAATAACCCAAAACAAAATTAGATTACTTCACAGCACATGTTCCCAATGAGACTTCAAACTTCTTGAGAGCTACAACCCCAGGAATTTTCTTCAGGCAGTGTTAATAAACTTTTATGGACAACAACCATAGTTTAAGACAAGAAGCACAAGGCTACTGATTGATCTGAATTCATTACTGCCTGTACTAAAAAGATTTTAAATTTACTAATTTAAATCACTAATTTAAAATTCATTTTATATTTGAAATTGATGCACCACTATCAAGAAACACTCATTTTAGGTGGTGTATTTGTACTCAACAATGTTTTATCTTTTATTTCCCTCATTAAATATTTTTCTATTCTTTTTTTTTTTCTCCGAATGCCTTCAGGGCAGGTTTGGCTGGCTTGAGTTGTGGGGATCAAACCACAGCAACCTGAGCCTGCCTGCTTTGTGGAAGCAGCCACTTAAAGAACTGAACTAAGGGGCAGGCCCCCTCTATTCTTGATCCAGTCAATTTGGTTAGTGATCACCAATCAACACTTTCAAGTAAAACTGGAAGAAAATGTATACCATGCTTACCCTGGAATCTTTCAATCCTGATTAAAAAAAAAAGTAATAACTATAAGACACATTACTCAAAACAAGAAAGATGATAAATGCCATTCATCTATGGGAAATTAACATAGATGCACTGGAGGGGGGAAAAGGGGTTGAACTGGAAAGATAGATATAATAAAAATCTGACAAATGTATTTATTTACCTAAGAAAAGATACAGTTGAGTTCACAAAGCTACTTCCCACACATTCTCAGTCAAACCTCAATTATTGAGGTAGAAAATTTTTGCTTTACTTCTACTCACAAAGTCCAACAAGGTTTACCAAAATTGTTCACAGGTCCCCAAACTGCACACTTTGCCACTACATCATATTCAGTAAGTGCAAATTAAGTGCAAAATACCAAACCTTAATATTAATTAGCCTAAGGGAAAAAAACCACTCAGGGTCTGGGAAATTGCTCAGGAGCATAAGCACTTGCCTAGCAAGTGCAAGGTCCTGGGTTTGATCCCCAATACCACAAAAAAAAAAAAAAAAAAAAACCTCAGAAGCTCAATTTGGATACCCTTCTCCCAAAATAAAGTGTGCAGAAAAACACATTACAAGCACAAACATAAAGGGAGTTTGGGGATTATTATCTCTGCCCCTTGCACAACTGTGTATTCTCAGGCTCCACTAAATATGTCTTGGATGAAGGGTCTAGAAGACCGCACCAGGTGAAAGGACATGAAATCTGTGAACAGGAGCTGTTGAGGAAAGTATCATTAACTCAGGGGCTTACAGGCCACAAACTAAGGAAGGCAATCTGATAAAGATAACAAATGACACTTGCTCCCAGAAGTAGGGAAAAAATATAAGATGGAGTGTCCATTCCCAATCTCAAAGCAATTTCTGTGATCTCACCCCAGCTGTCACAAAAATTCTAAAGTCATCAGGCGATCTCTCACAATCAACAGATGCGAAACATATTTGCATGAGATTTTAAAAACCAAACGCTGGCAACCAATATTCCGATGTACGGGCTGAACCAGACCAACGGGAAACAATTTACAACTTAGAAGGTAGGGAATTTTGTGGACAAAAAAAAGAGTGACAGGAAGAGTACTGGCCAGAAAAGCAAAAAAGCAAGCCCAACTAAAATTTGGACGAAACAGGTAACAGAAATCTGCCTGAAAGGTCTGACAAGAGCGCTCACTAAGAAATGCCCGGTGGGCGAGGGCACAGGGAGCCCTAACTCGGAAAGCGCTCTGGCAGCGCCGGGGTGAGAGCGGGACGCGGACCGCGCGCACAGCTGGCCCAGGAGCTCCGCGGCGCGGCGCCGACCGCAGGCCGGGTTGTGCGGCTACCTGCGGCCGCGGGGGTCTCGGCTCCTCCGCCGCTGGCGCCAGCAAGGACGGCGCTCGCCGGCCTCTTCTCTCGCCCTCCGCCCGCACCGCGCAGAGGGACTCCATTCCCCGGGGAGGGGGCCGCGGCTGGCCGACCCCGGGCTCGGCCTCGGCCACCGGCCACCTGGCGCCAGGGAGCTTCCATCCCTGCAGAGGAAAAATAAAGAGTGAAAGGGGTGTGAGGAGGGCGGGCAGAGCGGGGAAACGACGCGGGGGCCCGACGCCGGACACCCGAGGGGCGGGGGAGGGAGGCGAGCGCGCCGCGGCCTCGGCTGCCCTCAGGGCGGGTCTTCGCGAAGCCCGGACTCTGGAGAGGGACCGGAGAGGGCCACGACGAGGTAGAGAAATGGAGCGCAGGACAGAGAACACTCAGCGCCGGCGAGGAGGAGGCCGGAGCCGGGAAGCACCTCGTCTGCCTCAGGGAGGCTGAGAAAGAGCGGCAGACTGACCCGTCACCCCCGTGGGGAACCTTCTGCAGTAGCAGATCCCACCGAAAGCTACGTCTCCTTACCGACGGCGCCTGCCTGCGGCGACTACAACTCCCAGAAGGCCCTGCCCGCGACTCGCGGAACGCGTGGCAGCGAGCTCACCTTCCTCATCCGGAGGAGCCCCCACCGGGGGTCATTGCGCGTGCGCAGACTGGACTCTTGGGGGGCTGTCAGAACTACAATTCCCGGCATGCTGTGCAGCTTGGGCGAAGGCGGTGTTTTTCACCCTTTGCAACTTCCCGAAACTCAGCAGGGTGTCTAGGTCTAAGGATTTCCTAAGGAGATCCCGGTTGGCTTTCTGCTGTCTTTAGCCTCGCTTGGTATTTGAATATGACAGGAAGATTGTCACAACCTGAAAGAGCAGGAAAAACAAAAACACTTCGAAGTGGGGCGCTGTGAAGAAGGAAGGAAAGCTAGGGAAAAGTTGCAGGATCGTACCTCAAATGGAGAAAGGAAAGCACCCTTTTGAATTACTAGAACCTCGGAGAAAATCTAACGCCTATAATTAACGTAGTAGCTCTTTATGGTTTCCAGTAGGCTTTTCTTGGAACCAGCCTATTTTTACCGTCAAGACGGCGCCCTACGGTAGATTTCATTAAGGAAAATATCTCAAAACAAGCGCTTAAAATTTTTGACCGCAGAACTTTCCAATAAGAGATTTTAGAAATGTATTTGATGTACAACATTTAACCACTAGGAAGAATGTATACAATGTGTTAATTATTGAAACTGTCCTACCAATTTGGTTTGAAACTGTCTCGTTGCTATTTGTTTCTCAATAAAATTATGGAAAAAAAAGAAAACAGAAATGTATTTGAAGGTCTGTTTGGGATTGAGAAATACCTTGATTGTTGTTTCAATAATTCCCCAATCATAAATAATGTGAGTGTATATATATGCTGATTTAGTGCTTAATAATCTTTTTTAATGTCCCTGTTTTACCCCTAAGAATAAAGGCACAAAGGGGTTAGTAACTTCCCAGTAGCCATTCAGATAGAAAAAACTGAAGTCAAGCTTGAAAGCAAGCTAGTCTAGTCTGATTCATCAGAAACCGTTCTGTTAACCTCATACGTACATATTGCAGAATTGCCTGTGTATTAGCCAAACTTTAACATGTCCCTGAGACTATGATTTAGTTGAGTAGATATCAAGAAGTGCAGAGGGACTGAAAGCTGGGGGACAGTTGCAGGACAGTAGCTGGGCTTGAGAAAGTACACTTTAAAAGCTGCATCTAGCATTAAAGTTTAGAAAGTCTTCAACAGTGTAGTTTTCAGATACAGGGAAGTTGTTAATAATATGAAGGAATACAGTGATTTTCACTGAGTAATGCCCAAGAAATACTGAGGGGCTACGAACAAGGGAGATTCTGCTCAGAACCTTACGTGCCAGCCATGAGGATGAGGATATGCTCCAAATCTCTATGCTAGCTATTGGTGAAAACAAATTTCTTCCATTCTCCCAAATATTTAATAGCACTTTGTGTATACCTGCTTTCTTCCAAGACCTTTTTGGATTTATATTCTAATCTTAGCAACAACTTGTGGTGTAGCTATTGTTATTCAAATCATGTTGTAAATTAGGAAATAGACAGAAAATTGCCTTTTTCAACAAAATCACAAAGTCAAGATTCAACCTGGTACTGTGACTCCTGGCCTGTACTTTTTCTACCATGCTATATAATGATTATGTAGCTATATGTATTAATCTTTACCTGAAGACTTCAGTTATTGTTTTTGAACATCCAAATAGGCAAAGACTTAGAATCAGATTGTTCCCTACCGTATGAATGAATTTTTAATTTTTATTTTTCTGACTGTTTGCAGTACATAATAATTACATTTATCATGGGGAGTTGGTACATCTACATAGCATATCTTAATTCTTTTTTACAACTCCTTTATCCTCTCTTCACTTTGAAATCAAAAAGACTGGTATGAGCTAAATGAGCAAACATTTATATTGTGACTAAATTTTTCAGCGCAGAGTTATTGTACACATATTGAAATATATGTAAGTAGAAAACACATTTTCAAAAATTTCTATTGCTATTTTTTTTACTTTAAATTTCTGATAACATTCAAGAGACATGTGTTCTTTATTAATGCTGAATTAAAGATTGAGAATTATATCTACATATTTCATTTTAATTTTAAAAGAATGTATGAACAAGAATACCTAAGAGAAAATGCGACTACCTATGGTTGGCAAGGATGTGGAGCAACTGTAATCTTTATACTCTTTAGTGGGAGTGGAACTTTTTTCAAACACTTGCAAAAATATTTGGTAATATCTGCCAAAATTAGATGAAGAAAGAAATTTAATTTCCAGAAGAAAGTGTTCCACTAAAGTTCATGCTCAGAGCAGGTGTATTCAAAAGTACCAAGACAACTAGAAATGACTGTACTTAGTATGTTTTCTGCTACTATACCAGAATACCTGAATATTCAAGTCTTAAGTATTCTAGTTATAAATTATGAGCAATTTATAAAGAATACATATTTATTTTTTACAGTTATGAAAGCTAAGAAGTCCAATATCAAAATGCTGGCATCTGGCAGAGGCTTTCCTGCTGTGTGGTGACATGTCATTCAACATCATGTGGCTAGAGAGTAAGGACAAAAGTTCAAGTCTCTCATCTTATAAAACCACTAGTCCCCTCATTAGGGCCCCACCTTTTTGACCCCATCTAGCCATACTTCCTAAAAGCCTACCTTCAAATACCATCAACATATTGAATTTGGAGAGATTTTAAGTTTCCAACTCATAAACTTTTGGGGGATAGGTAGCATAGCTCTAATATCATCTGTAGAATAGGAAGGCAAATTTTTATCTGTTCTTATAATAGATTACTATACCAAAAAATAGAATATTATAGCAAAAAAAAAAAAAACAAACTCTGATCTATGTAGCAAGATGGGTGACTCTCAAAGATACCATGTTAAACAAAAGAACCAGATACACAGTACTTACTTGTGATCCTATTTTTATGACATTCCTGAACACGTGCTAGAATCTAGGTTACCACTTACCCCAGTGGTGGTGGGAGGACATTAACTATGAAGAGAAAATAGGGACCCTCCCCAGAGGTGGAAATATTCCACTCCGATCTGAGTGATAGTTTCACTATCTACAGATGGATGTAAAAACACATCAAATTACTCATTTATAATTTGTGCTATTTGTTATATGTACATTTATTTTTTAAAAATTCTAAAATGGGTATAGAAAAACAAATAAGGTATCTGAATATCTAGCCATTTAAAATATGGTTTAATTGCATTTATTTGTCTATTGCTGCTGTCATGTCCTGATATGGGTTGGTTTTGCCAGAACATCCACATACCAATCCCCCAAACACATGTATCTCTGACAAGCATGTCAGGTAGACCCTATTCTAGTAATCCATTTGCTGCCTCTGCTCCACTTCACACTTCAGTATATGCTTATGGCCCTAAGCAGAACTTCAAGCATCTCCACAGAAAATACAGTGTTAAATTTTCTCAATAGAAGGCATCAGACAGACATTGAGGAAGAAAGTGTGCTTCTGATATTTCCAGTTGTTATGAATCAGTGATCTTGTGGGCTTTGGCTGGCCTGGCCCCACAGTAACTTTCCCACATAGCCTTCTCAGCATAGACGTGAGGATTCCTGCTCATGTGAGAGCCTTCAAGCAAGACTCCTTTGGATCCTGACTTTCTCTCCACCCCTGCAACTATCCCTGCTTCTGCTGCACACCCTGGGACAGCTGCACCCCAGGCCATTCTCTCCACGCGTGTCCCTTGAGTTGCTATCACCAGTAGTCCAGAGGGTTACCTCTTGCTTGTCCAGGGCCTTCAGACCAGGTAGGCCTCACCACAGGCCTGGAAGTAACAGAGCCAAGTGAGCATCTCTGAAACTGGAAGCCAAAATAAATCTTTTCTCCTTTTGTCTAGAAAGCTTCTCTGATATCCAGTGTGGCATGCACTCCACCTCCACCACTGAGCTAACCCACAGCCCATTTTCTCTCCCTCTGTCTTTCTCTCTCCCTCTCCCTTTTCTTTTTTTTTTTTTTTTTTTTTTTTTGTACTGAGGATTAAACCCGGAACCCCCTTACTTTTTATTTTGAGTAAAGTCTTGCTAGTTCAAGATGAGCTTGAATGTTTTATCCTCTTGCCTCCACCCTCGAGAGTACTGGAATTTCAGGGGTGCACCATTGGCTTCCCAACTCCATACTTTTATTAGAAAGTAATAATTCTCCATATCAAGCTTACCCCACCATATGGTTTCTAGTCCTTACTGGAACTTTACACATATGTTCATCAACTTTCTGTCACTGTGACAAAATACCTCACAGAGACAAAAGGAGGAAAGAGTCATCTAAATTCAGTTTCATGGATTTCAGTACTCAACCACTTGACTGCATCATTTTCAGAACCTGTGGTGAGGAAAAAAAAAAAAAACCTGGTGGAAATGAATTGCAGAGGACAGTTTGCTCACCACATGTTGCCAAGTAGAAGAGAAAGAGGAAAGGGCAAGAGTCCTAATAGAACCTCCAAGGGCATGCTCGCAGTGACTATTTCCCCCATTAGATCACATTTAATATGATTTTTTAAATAGTCAGCAATAAAATCCATAAAGGAATAAATAATTGAGTCTAGCAGCCAGTTAGTACATCAAGAATTGGACATTCATACTGCTTTGAAATAAAGATTCACTGTAAGGTTGATTTGAGGTAAGAAAGGTACAATAATGGAATGGTGACCTTGTATTTAAATTGCAGTAGACATTTATTTACAAATATGTGCAACTAATACTTCAGTAGGCAGTATTTTTAATTCAACTCAATTTGAATTATGAGTTTAATCTCACAGGATTTGTTGAAAACAATACTGATTTATTAATTTAGTGCACAAATATTTTTTGAAATTCTGTTATGTTTCAGGTACATTATAGGTACTAGAAATACAGGAATAAGTGTAATAAAGTACGTGCCCTCATGGAACTTAACATTTAGTGGAGGAGACAGTTGACAAACAAAATACAAAGTAGTGATCTATTCAGAGAGATAAAGTAACAAAGTTTCAATTTAGGTCAATTAGAGCTAGTAGTATAAGAAAGTGAGCAGCGATCTGAATGAAAGGTCATTACCAGTTGCATAATGGGGACAAAATGTCCCAGAAAGAGGTTATGAAAACTGCAAGGACCCAGAAAAAGGAAAACACTTGGTGTATTGAGGAAAAAACAAGTAGCCTCTCTTAACCATACTAGGCTAATGTGATCCTCCCTACTAGTCCCAAAGATCTATGTAGAGCACTAAGAGTGCAGAGAACCAAACAGTCCGTATGGTTCCTTCAGTTCTACTGGCACTTGACTTAGTTACTTTTTTTGTTGCTGAGACAAAATACCTGACACCCAAAGTTAAACAGGAAAGAAAAGGTAAAGAAATTTCAGTCTGTAGTCAGCTGGTTCCGAGGTAAGGTGGCATGGCCGAGGGGCATCACAGAGGAGAAATAGTTGTTTGGCAATCAGGCAGGTGAAAGCGCATTAGCTCTCTTTCTGTTCCTTATGTTTTATGCAGGCTGCCTGTCTAGGGGTGGAGGTGGGGTGTAGCATTCAAGCCTTAATCCTAGCCAGAACTGAGCCAAACGAATCAGTTGACTGATTTGATTTAGTAATCACACGCCCTTGACCCAAGCACCACACAATCTAG